AAAAAGCGTTATTTCTCGGCGACTTTTCTGCGAAGCCCATCAATTTGTGCCGAAACATTGCTCTTCTACCAGGAAAATTCTTCTTTTTCTGCCCAATCTGCCTACCAAATCTAGATCTTTACAATAGCTTGGTAGATTTGTCAAGATCAGGAAATCATCAATTGTAGTCAATCAAGCCAATTGATCCAACTAACCGTTTCGTGATAACACGTAAACAATTCTTAGGACGTAGATTCTAGTCTTGTTTCCGAGTTCAATATATGTATTAGGATCTGAAGATTTCATAACAAAATGATTTACGTGTGAAAGAGCTATGCTTCGGCACGAATGGGTCGGCTCGACCGGAGTTATACCACGGCCTCACAGAAAACCGACAAGAAATAACTAGAGCGTTGTGTTTCGCCGTGTGAGTCAGGTTACCGGTGGCCCAATCCCTCCCCCTGTCTCTATCCATTCCCAATCCTTTAATATTCGAAACCTTTATCCCCTAAAAGGCCGGCAACGCACTCGTAACTCCTTTGGTGTTGCGGGTCTCCATGGGCGGCGCCGATTTCTTACAATCAGGTAATCCGTCTGCTCGTTTGCCGACATATTCTATCCAAACTAATATTATAATGCGAAAGTAACTCTGTCTGTCTGTCTTTTCTTCACGTCTAAACTTCTGAAGCTATTTGTGTGAAATTTGGTACAGACATAGTTTGGAACTCAAGAAAAGACATAGGAGGGTTTTTTTAAGAAAAAATCTGCAGGAAGTCACTGTGCCACGCGAACAAAGACGCGGGCAAAAGCTAGAAAAAAATAAATTAAAAGGCATGTCGTTGCTATAAAAAACTATAAAGTTGTTTCTATTTGTAACTTAATATCGACCACGTGAGGCTTCTCGATAGCCTGCCTAGGTCTCAGCTTATGTAACAAGCCCTAGGTATATCAGTAACACTAGATTATCTGTCTTCAGCCGTTATGTCATGTTTCTTTTTAAGTGTAGGAGAGCCATGTTTCGGAACGAATGGGTCGGCTCGACCGGAGTGATATCACGGCCTCACAGATAACCGGCGTGTAACTATCACAGCGTTGTGTTTAGCCGGTCTGCGGACGGCGAGTAAGGGTAGCTCAAGAACCAAAAAGCGTACGGCGCGTAGCGTTCCACACGCACCTCAAAGAGCCAATAGACCACCACAGACGGGGCCCTATAGGGCTGATGTTCAGTCGGGGTTGCGGGGTAAGCGCAATAAGGCACCGCGACCTCTGCCTAGAACAGGGTTTTTAGTCAGTAAGAGTCTGGCACTCCCTCCTTCTGACCGTTGGTGGGAGAAGTCATTTGATAATTTACCTCTGACAAAAATAAAAAAAATATTATTAAAAAAACAAAATACCCGACTGCACACTAAAAAAAGAGTAAAACAAGCCCCACAATACAAATTTACTGAATATAATTTATAAATGTTGATGGAAAGCATCGCAGGCGGGGACCAACAGAGGCTTATTTATAGTCATTTCTGTTGTGCACCATTTAGCAGAATTTTCGTTGGTGGCGGTCAAGGTGGTCCCCGCCTGCGATGCTTTCCATCAACATTTATAAATTATATTCAGTAAATTTGTATTGTGGGGCTTGTTTTACTCTTTTTTTAGTGTGCAGTCGGGTATTTTGTTTTTTTAATAATAATTTTTTTATTTATAACTTTTTAGCTGTTTTTATTTAACGAAAATGTTGTAGATGTAGAAGACTATGTATATGTAAGTACCATTTTAAATTATTTCGACGACATTTGGCTTTAGATTACGAGTGATGTTACTCCGCAACGTAAATTTACCGCCAATCTGGACTGTTGGTAGTGAAGAAGAAAAAGAATTAGGTGAGCTATCCCGTGGGACTTTTAGGATAAAATGTATCCTATGACACTCCCGTAATCAAGACAAATCTAACGATACCTCATACATCAAAATCCATCAAGCCGTTTAGGCTACAGGTGGTCACAAAGGAAAAGACATACATACATACTTACATACACTCGAAAAACATTACCCTCCTTCTTTGGCAGTCGGGTAACAAGTGTTTCGCCACGTGAATGAGGTTACCGTAGGCCGAATTCTTCTGCCTTATCCCTCCCTGATTCCTAAATCTCTAAAAGACAACGCACTAGAAAGCCCTCTGGTGTAACGGGTGTCTATTCAAATATAGATTACTCTGTCAGCTTGGTCTTTACGAAATATGTTGTCACTTAGTCGGGTGTGCCATACCCGCATCGAGAGTAAGGGTGGTAGTTTGTTACTACCTCCACCATCATATTCTTTCAGGGTACTTATGCCAATCAAGTTGAACTAATACACCTGTTGTTTTTGAGATAGATATAAACAAATATTTTGATGTAATTTTCCTCAGACTTGAATATTTTAATAATTACGTGGACCTATTAGCATAAAATCTACATAAATGTATCAAAGAAAAATAACGGCACACGATACAAAATCATAAACATCTGTTTTATAACTGTACTAGCTTTTGCCTGCGACTTTGTTCGCGTGGAATATTGACTTCCTGCAGATTTTTGGTATAAAAACTATCCTATGTCCTTTCTAGAGTTCCAAACTATGTCTGTACCAAATTTCACACAAATAGGTTCAGTAGTTTAGCCGTGAAGAAAAGACAGACAGATTTACTTTCGCAATTATAATATAAGTTTGGATTTTGTAAACAATCTTGATCTAAAAGTTGTCTATAAATTGTAATAAGGTATTTACCTAAAGCGATGTCTATACTTATATTATAAAGAGGTAAAATTTGCAAGTTTGTATGTAGGGGGTAATCTTTGGAACCGCTGGTCCGATTGCCAAAATTCTTTCACTGATAGATAGTCACAATGTTCCTGAGTGCTATACGATGAAACATCACGCTACGATCAAATGGAGCCGAGCGATTTCTATAGAAAAATGTAATAAATTTTAAACTGGTTTTTTTACAAGGTCCAGTATGGTAAAGAAACTTGATGTCCCACGCTCGACTGCTTGTTGCTTTGTTACATCATAAAATATAGATATATTTAAAAACTCCCGACCCGACGAAAAAATACGCAATTAGTATCGGAAAAGGTTTATATTTTTTTATAGTGTTTAACATAATCCAAATCAATCCAAACTAATATTATAAATGCGAAAGTAACAGATATCGTTTGGATCTCAAGAAAGGACATAGGGTAGTTAATCTACAGAAATTCACTTTTCCACGCGAACAGAGTCGCGGCTAAAAGCTAGTTTACTGTAAAAAGTCCTAAATATCTGAAGCCCTTATTCCTAAAAGGCCGGCAACGCACTCGTAACTCATTTGGTGTTACGGCCATGGGCGGCGCCGATGGCTTACCATCAGGTAATCCATCTGCTCGTTTGCTGATTTATTCCATAAAGAAATTTCGTCACAGTGATTGTCACCAATTACAACAAAGTCGCCTTCTCTGTCCGTATATCCCTATGTATGCTTAAATCTGTAAAACTACTCAACTTATTTCATGCGGTCTTTTAATAGATAGAATGATTGAAGAGGAAAGTTTACATGTATGATAACATCCATTCAACAGAAAAATTGCGTGTTGTGTAGCTAAAAAAAATCAATAACAAAAAAAACAACCATGACCATATAAGTAACATAAAAAAATAATAAAAGAAGTCAAAATAAAATCAAAAAGCCATAGCCACCATGTTGGCACGTTTCCGCCGCGCCGCACGCCAAGCTGCGCGTGCGCAAAGGGAACTAGAGGAAACGGAAGCGGACCCTGCTTATGACGTGTCACAATACTTCAGTGACGACGTCGCTGATCCTTGGAGACAGCATGGTAAGATTTCTGCGGGTCTGCGGATGACGACTAAGGGTAGCTCGCCGCCCGACCAGAACTCTGAAGCCGCGCAGTAATTATGGGATTATTCCTGAAGATATGTTTTACAGACAATAATTTGGAAGATGCTGCTAGCTTTTCAAAATAATTTCTGTCTATTTGTAATATTGTAAGGGTTAGTGCTGACCAAAACCAATTTGAGATTTTGTATATTGGTACCTATTCCATAAGATAATCCATCCATAATCCATTTTAAAGTCCATAAAATCAGAGTGCTGTTAAAAACAAAACAAACAAAAACAAAAAGTATTTATTCGCGTCTGGGACGCATAAAAGACACAAAACGAACAATAATAAAAAAAGGTAAAAATAAAAATACATTAAGAATTATACTACAATATAACAAAAGTAGAGGGTAGGAGAAAAATATGCGTCCAAGCTCGCGAAATGGCCCTCGCTCAGCATTATGCAGCGACCCCATACGAGACAGTGTCGCGGCGCTGATTTTCAGCGATGGCCGACACCAACGCTTGACGCCTGTTGTAGTGTGGATTATAACAACTAAAGTTATAATTGTCGATTTTTTTTTTTTTGTGAAGTTTGTGTGTGTCAATTAAAAACAAGACGAAGAAAGTTAATTAAAGGTAGTTAAGTCATTCCAGGCCAAAAAAAAACCAGACCCGAGCGTACGGCGCTTTACGTTCCGCGCTCGCCTCAAAGAGCCAATAGACCACTACAGACGGGGCCCTATAGGGCTGATGTTCAGCCGGGGTTGAGGGGTAAGCGCAATGAGAATGAGACACCGTGGCATCTGGCTAGAGCAGAAGAAGGAACGGGGGGTTTAAGTCAGTAAGAGTCTAACACACCATCTCCCGTCACCCAAAAGAAACCTTGATCCCTTCATGTATACAAGGCATTTTTATTTTGACAGAACAAAATCATCAAATGACTTCTCCCGCCCAGGGTAGCGAGAGAGTGTCAGACTCTCATTGACTAAAAACCCTCCCGTTCCTTCTCCTGCTCTGCCCCAAGGCCACGGTGCCTCATTGCGCTTACCCCGCAACCCCGGCCGAACATCAGCCCTATAGGCACCGTCTGTGGTGGTCTATTGGCTCTTTGAGGCGCGCGCGGAAATAAAAGGCATGGAGTTTACAAATCTATGTTTTTCTATTACAGATGCATTAGAAAGAGAGCGTTTGTCCCAGCATGCAGCGCTTCGTGAGATGGTGTCCCGCGGAGACTGCGCCCAGCTGAAGGCTCGGTTGAGCGCGCTCGGCAGCAGCGCCGGTCTGATTGCTAATCTTACGCCTGGTGGCGCCAACACCTTGTTATACGTGTAAGTTGGTGATGAATGGAGTTGAAGGATCACCTGATGGTAAGCAATGGGGTTTGTCGTGGTGGCCCGGAGGTTAAGGAACCCGCTTCTCATGCATGAGGGTGTGGGTTCAAAACCTGGCAAGTACCAATGTGACTTTTTCCGAGTTATATGTACTTTCTATGATTATTTAGACACCACTGACATACGGTTAAGGTAAACATCGTGAGGAAACGTGGACTTATAATTTCTAATCATAAGTTTGAAAATGCCAACCCGCATTGAGCAAGCGTGGTGATTAATGCTCTTACCTTCTCCGTATGAGAAGAGGCCTTTGCTCAGTAGTGGGCACTTATAGGCTGTGATGAAGCAATGGAGAGCCATGGGCGGTGTCCATGTCCAGTAGTGACTACGTCGTCGGTCTTTTAGGAGTTAGAAATTTGAGAAGACTGAATAATTTTGGGATTGGAGATGAGGGGGTGCGGGGGACGCAACGCAAGCTTTCTTAATTCCGGTTTCCTGCGAGGTCTAAGAATGACTCTGGTCGATCTGGCTGGCCAATCAGTGCCGAAGCATTATTCAGCAATAATTGATTTTTTTTGTTGTTTATCCTTATTTGGATATTTGATGGAATGTTTTTGATGGGTGTCCATCGGCGGCGCTGATCGCTTACCATCAGGTTATCCGTAAGCTCGTGTGCCGACCTATCACATAAAATAATACAGACTTGTAACTTCTCATGTTCTTTGGTATCCTCATACCTAACCACCATTACTCTTCCCCAGGGCATCAGAAGCCGGTCTAACAGCAGCAGTCTCCTCACTCCTGGACGCCGGAGCTGATGGCAGAGCTCACCCAGTCACCAAGTACTGTCCCCTGTACATCGCCAGCTACCATGGTCATGTGGAAATTGCGAAGCTGCTGTTGGCCTCATTTCCTGAAGCTGTCCAGGTAAGGTGTTTGAAGAGTTGGAGACTAATTGGTTGCTTTGATACTTCTGAGGGGTTTTACGCCGCTGCTCGGCCCCTATTGGTTGTAGGGTTTTTTTATGTTATAGGTCGGCAAACGAGCAGACGGATTACCTGATGGTAAGCAATCAGCGCCGCCCATGGACACTTGCAACGGAGGAGTTACGAGTGCGTTGCCGACATTTTAGGGATTAGGAATTTGAAGATTTAGAGATTTAGGAGGGATTGGGGGAGGGGAAGGATTGGGCCTCCGGTAACCTCACTCACACGGCGAAACACAACGCTGTTGTTTTTTCACGCCAGTTTTCTATGAGGCCGTGGTATCACTCCGGTCGAGCCGACCCATTCGTGCCGAAGCATGTTCCACACTTATGATATTACATATATGTATATATAAATATATTTACTTGTCTGTTTTCAGCAAGAAACGGTTGAGAAATGGCTGCCTATTCACGCGGCGTGTATCGGCGGTCACGCTGCCCTAGTCACGCTGTTACTGGAGTACCCATACCCTGAAAATGTCCTGACCACATATACGTAAGTCAATCTTCAATATGTTTATCAGTAGACTAGCTACTCTCGCGCGGTTTTACCCGTTGCTCAGCTCCGTCAAATCGTAGCGTGATGTTTTATAGCCTATAGCACTCAGGAACATTGTAGCTATCTATCAGTGAGTGGCAAGTGGATTCAGCTATCATTGTACCGATAGTCGTGTCTGCCAATGGCTTAAAAGCCAAGAGCCTCGACCAACACTTTAGGAGGCTCTCGTTAGGTTGCTGGTTCAAGGATTTGATCCAGAAAGTGGTACTCCTGGACCCGGCTCGTTTTGTCAGGAGGTTCCTTTCTCTTCATTTATTATTAGTTATTTTTAAGAAATATTTAAAAATGTTTTTTTTTTGCGGTATAGGAGACGTATTGCTTGATGGTAAGCAATCAGCGCTGCCCGTGGACATCCGCAAGAACAGAGGATTTACGAGTGCGTTGCCGACCTTTTGGGGATTAGGGATAAGGGATTTGGAAATTGGGGAGGGGAAGGATTGGGCCTCCGGTAACCTTATTCTCACGGCGAAACACAAAGCTGGTTATTTCACGCCGGTTTTCTATGAGGCCGTGGTATCACTCCGGTCGAAGCGACCCGTTCGTGCCGAATAACCCTCAAACCTTAATTATTAAGACTGGTGATTAACCCTCAAACCTTCGTGTTGGAAGAGACCTATGTTCAGTAGTAAGCACTTACAGGCTCCCGAGCGTACGGCGCTTAGCGTTCCGCGCGCGCCTCAAAGAGCCAATAGACCACCACAGACGGGGCCCTATAGGGCTGATGTTCAGCCGGGGTGGAGGGGTAAACGCAATGAGGCACCGCGACCTCGGCCCAGAGCATGAGAAGGAACAGGGGGGTTTTTAGTCAGTAAGAGTCTGACACTCCCTCCCGCCCGGCCCTGGGTGGGAGAAGTCATTTGATGATTTTTCCCCTCACAAAAAAAAGCACTCACAGGCTGATGATGATGATGATAATTTTCCTCAGTGATCCAAAAGGAGAATGGCAGTGGCGAGCAGCCTTCGATGTGAACGCTCGCGATGTGTCTGGTCAGAGTGCACTGTACGTCGCGTGTACCCTCGGCAACCTGGCCGTGGTGGACGCCCTCCTAGCTCATACAGTGCCTGCTATACCAGCTCATACTGGAGATACTAACCAGGTCAGTGAATCAAACATGAAGGATAAGACAAGTCTGGGTAACCGGCTACCTAGCAGCGTATCCTGTTTTTTAATAATAAAAATAATAGTCTTTTCCGTTGTCCCTCTGTTGCTATTCGGTGAGTTGGCGAGTCTCCACCTCCCATTTTTACGTGTATTTATTACATTGTTTCGGCAGGTGCCATAGTCCTTCCATAGTTCCCATCATACCACTCCATAGCAACCCTTGTACTTTGTTTCTTTATCCACAATAGTCCTACACTAACCGGGGACTGTCCTTGGTTGCATTTCCATAGCGCATACAGGGATAGTCGCCGGTTGGTATCCCATTTCACTTACCGGAATGATACCACGGCCTCACAGAAAACCGGCCTGAAACAACCACAGCGTTGTGTTTCGCCGTGTGAGTGAGGTTACCGGAGGCCCAATCCTTCCCAAATCAAATCAAATCAAATCAAAATCATTTATTCCAAATAAACCATAAATAGGTACTTTTGAAACGTCAAAATAGAATAGTAGTCTGTCAGTCTGTTCGTCAGTGAAGCTAGGTGCTCGTTCCAAATTGTAGATTCGAATGGAGAAGAACGAGCAAGAAACTCCATCGTTACTCTTTTAAAAAAAAATATTTGTTTTACAATTCATCAATAATACATTTTTTATACATTACTGTACCCCTATGTAAGAACAATGCAGAGACAAGTTGTTAATAAAAAGGAACAAATTATGGTCTATTTAATCTATCATTAAAATTTTAATCCTTTGTTGTCTCGTACATGGCGCTCACATATGCGTACTCACAATCCAAAAGAATGCTTCTATATAAACTCATTCAAGGTTTCATTAATTTTGAGAATTTTAATAACTACTGACTACATATTTGAGAATTGTCCAGTGGAGCCGAACCAACATGCTGCCAGGCATTCTTATCCTCAATATAATCTGAAAGTTTGTAGTATGCCTGTCTACATAATTCGCGTTTAATATAAGTTTTAAATTTTCGTTCATTAAGAATTAATACACTTCTTGGAATTTTATTGTAACAATTTACACAGAACCCCATAAAGGATTTCTGTACTTTGGACAGACGGAATCGTGGCACAGCCAGCCTATCTTTGCCTCTAGTATTAAAATTGTGTCTATCGCTTCTTTTTTCAAATAATTGCATATTTTTCCTTACGTACATAATATTTTCATATATAAACTGACAAGGTACCGTTAGGATATTTATCGTTTTAAATAGTTCTCTCAGAGATTCACGAGGGGACAAGTTATATATCGCTCGGATAGCCCGCTTTTGCAAAATAAATATTGAATCTACTTCCGCAGCTCGACCCCATAGCAAAATTCCGTACGACATAATGCTGTGAAAATAGCTAAAATAAACAAGCCTTGCTGTGTTCACGTCTGTGAGCTGTCTAATCTGTCTAACTGCAAAAACAGCTGAGCTCAGTCTTCCCGAAAGCGTCTTTATGTGGGAACCCCATTGAAGTTTATTGTCTAGCGTAATACCTAGGAACATAGTCTCGTTAACAAATTCTAACTTTTGCCCATTTAAAATTATGTCACAATCATTATTGTGTACGTTGGGCAAGCTAAATTTAATACATTTTGTTTTTTTCTCGTTAAGTGCTAAATTATTGACTGTAAACCAATTATGAACTCGATGAATGGAGCTGTTTACTTCGTCCAAATTATTAACACGTCGACCTATTCTAAAAATTAATGATGTATCATCTGCAAACAGCACCATTCTTGGCTCGGTTTTAAATAGAAATGGCAAGTCATTAACATAAACTAAGAAGAGAAACGGACCCAAAATTGAACCTTGCGGTACGCCAATTTTTATCTCAGAGCCCCGTGAGTTAGAACCACCTACATGAACTCTCAGCTGCCTATCCTCTAAATATGACTTTAGTAGACGGAGTGCAGTATGTCTAATCCCGTAATGATCTAATTTCAGCAAGAGTGTTTCATGATCAACGCAATCGAACGCCTTTGAGAGGTCGCAAAAGACACCAACAGCATCCTGTGCTTCCTCCCAAGCACCGAATACCTCCTTTATCAAAGTGACACCGGCGTCAGTTGTACAACGACCTTTAGTGAAACCGTATTGTTGGTGATGAAAGATGGCATGTTTATCAAAGTGATGAAGCATCCGAGATAGCATTAACTTTTCAAACACTTTGCTAAGAACCGGTAGAACAGACACAGGCCTATAGTTGTTTGGTTCTCCCCTCCCCCAATCCCTCCTCAAACCCTTAATCTCCAAATCCCTAATCCCTAAAAGGTCGGCAACGCACTTGTAATTCCTCCGTTGCGGCTGTCCATGGGCGGCGCTGATTGCTTACCATCAGGTAATCCGTCTGCTCGTTTGCCGACCTATTACATAAAAAAAAAACCAAATGACCGGGACCCTGTGGTCCCGTGATTGGTAAAGACATACATAATAATAAATCCGCAAGGCAGCTTCTGACGAGCTGTTGGGCAGTGGCGACCCCACGGACCTGACTCCCAGGAGGTGTCTTGTTCTTCATCTCCGGTTAGTCCTCGTGAGCTGGAGTGAATACTGAATAGGAACAAGCCCTCTCACCTCATTCTTGCCTTAATTGGCCTTAAGTGGAGATTCGCAAGAGTTGGAGTTGAAGGAGGCGTTTGGTGTTTTTTTTTATAGAATAGGAGACAAACGAGCAGACGGGTTACCTGATGGTAAGCAATCAGCGCCTCTTTATAATATTAGTATAGATAGATGATGTGACGGTGATATTATTATTGTTTTGTCTGTTTAGGAGCCAGAAGACCCTCCTACTCCAGTGAGTCAGGCGCTCAGTCCTCAACGCGGTGGCATTTCTCTGGGCATACACGCCATAGTCAGCAAATTGACTGGATCCTCAGCGAATAATGTGAGTATTATCTATACTTACAATGAATCTGTAGCGAGGTCAAATCTGTATATTAAATATACTTTCAAAATAACTGTCAGGGGGGTGATAAGTGATAGATACTAATGTCAAAAATGTAATCAGTAATTTTTGTAAATAGAAATCAGTATAGAAACACCTATTTTATACCTAAAATATTCGTAAGAATGCGGGCAGCTTTGCAATGCCATGCAGTAAGAATAATACTATGATTATGAGCCGTTTAGTTATTATACCCTTTCGTTTTACGGGTGGTTCACGCTACATGCACGAACTTATTTAAAATTATAATAACATCCAAATCAGCATTGCACATAGGGTCGCTAGTATTTATTAAATATACAAGTAACTAGCGACCCGCCTCGGCTTAGCACGTGTGCAATGCTGAGACTAAATTTCTCCACTATTTAATGGATGTTATTAAACATATAAACGTTTCTCTTCAATCATTCTATCTTAAAAAAAACCGCATCAAAATCCGTTGCGTAGTTTTAAAGGTTTAAGCGTACATAGGGATATAAGGACAGAGAAAGCGACTTTGTTTTATACTATGTAGTGATATACAAGTAATATAAGTATGTATTTGTCAACACAAACACTCAAGGAATAATAATAATACTGCATTAGGAATCGGATATCCGATACATTATACTGTTTATAATTCCTCAGAACTGAAATGAAATGGTCAAAGTTTTTTTTATGGAATAAGTCGACAAACGGGCAGATGTATTACCCAATGGTAAGCAATCGGCGCCACCCATGGATAATCGTAATACCAAAAGAGTTTCAAGTGTGTTGCCTTTTGGGGATAAGGGTTGTGAATATAAGGATTGGGAAGGGATAGGGGAGGGGGCGGGATTGGGCCTTCGGTAACCTCACTGACACGACGAAACACAACGTTAATTTTGTGTCACGCCGGTTTTCTGTGAGGTCGTGTAGTATATCACTCCGGTTGAGCCGACCCATTCGTGCCAAAGGCTCTCTCACACTTGTAACAATAATAAATAATTTGAATAGTTGTCAAATACATAATATAAAGAATATATAAATGTATTATATACCTAAATTAACTAAAATTCGCGGGGTACTCACGTGCAAATGTTGAGAAAAGCTCTACTAGTTTCGAACCACAGAGGGGTTCTTCCTCATGAGCAGCGTGCGCGGACGCGGCGACGTCGCGCAGCCTAGAGTAGGCTGCACGTGAGTAACCCGCGAATTTTAGTTAATTTAGTATGTCTCACGATAGTTATTATAAAAACATATTATATACCTCTTTAGTTCGTTAGCTATCCCTACAGTGCAGTGGTACGTCAGAACTCTCACGAACGTGTCCTGTCTTCGACTCCCGTTCAAGAAGAAACAGTATGAGTTTGAATTGCTTGCAAAAATTATATTAATGCTTGGGTTTCTTACGCATAGTGATAATGTTTGCAGTCTTTGTGTCTTTATTAACAAGAGACTTTTTGAAAATTTGTTTTTTTTTATTTGTTCTAACAATTTCGTATTTTCTTTGGTCAAAAATAATATCCGTCAAGATAGTCTTGAATACATATAATCGTACTTCATTGATTGATTTGACGATATACTAATACTAACTTAATTTTATATTTTTATAAACGCCGCCGGCGTAGTTTTCGATTGAAATATTTTTTTAACGAGCAGACGGATTACCGCCGCCGTACGAGTGCGTTGCCGACATTTTAGGAATTAGGGATTTGGAGATTTAGAGACTGGGGAGGGATTTTCGAAGGGGAAGGATTGGGTCTCCGTTAACCTCACTCAAACGGCGAAGTAGAACGCGTAATTAGAATTTTACTCTACGTACAAACCTTTTCTGGGCTTCCACGAATAATTCAAGACCAAAATTATCCAAATCGGTAAAGGCATTGTTGAGTTATAACATTACAATGAAAAGTGGCATTGATTTTTATTATATACTAGCGGCCCGCCCCCGCTTCGCACGGGTCCAACTATCGCTAAAGCAATGAAAGGGTCACTTTTTCCTTATCTTCCCCTCTACTTTTCTAATATTTTCTTTCATAAGAACCTTCTCCTGACAATACCAAACATAACAAAAAAAGAATTAACAAAATTGGTCCAGGCGTTGTTGAGTTATGCGCTTACCAACACATTTTGCGATTCATTTTTATATATAAGATTGTATAGATATAGATTGGTCACATTTTAATTATATGATGACGTCACGTTTCTGTTTTCTATAAGTACCTAATTCATAGAAAAGTTTTTAGTTTTTTACATTTCAATAAAAGTATTAAAGGACATGTCCAAATTCTGTATGGGCGTTTGCATAGTTATTAAATTCAATGTACACCAATGATTTTTGGTGTTTTATATTCGTGAATATTGTAACATTAAATTGCAATATTTAAAACACATGAAGAACTTGTCATTACAACACACTAGACCAAAATAGTCTTACTAAACCTTTAGTAAAATTACTGGCCATAAGTGCACGAAATAAGATTTGCTATTAAAAACCATAAGGCGTTTTAATTCTTTATTTATTTATTAAATAAAACAAAAGAAAAATAAATAATGATTATTTATTTATTAAGCAGAATAAATAAAATAAAACTACGTAATAATTCATTTTTCTATTTTTATTTTATAGTGTATTTTATTATGTTTGTGTTCATGGAATGAATTTTTTTAGCCATGTCCTTTGACTAGTTGTCGAATACCTTTTTTTTCCGAAAATCTAATCGGGGAAATATTATTTGCCGCCGGTAACCTCACTCATACGGCGAAATATAAAGCCGTGGTTGTTCCACGCTGATTTTCTTTAAGGCCGTGGTATCACACCGATCGAGCCGGCTCATTCGTGCAGAAGGCGCATTGCCAGCGTTTTGGGGGTTGGGGATTACCCAAAATCTAAAATTTTTGATGGGGGGAAATGGGAAAGAGTCGTCCTCTTGTGACTTCATTCACATCATGCAACAAAAACTCTGTTCTTTTCTACAGGAACGTAATACTTCGGAGCGTCGGATCCGGCCCGTGATTGTAGAGGCGGGGCGCGGTCGGGACTCGTGCGTGGCTTGCGCGGCCCGTGGAGGACATCTTCGTCTTCTGCGCCGTCTTCTGGCCGCCGGGGCAGACGCTAATGCTGAAGCCCTGCCCCCAGCTGATGTGGTAAGACATTCTTATACAACTAGTGACCTACTCCAGACTTCACACGGCCGCAAAGCCTTTTGTTGTGTGATAGGTCGGCAAACGAGCAGACGGATTACCTGATGGTAAGCAATCGGCGCCGCACAAAGACAACCGTAACACCAAAGTAGTTACGAGTGCGTTGCCGGATCTTTGAGGATAAGGGTAGCGGATGTTTAAGGATTGGGAGAGATTGGGGAGAGGGGGAAAGAAGGAATTCGGGTTTCGTTAACCATACTTATACGGCAAAACACAACGCTGTGGTTGCTTCACGTCGATTTTCTGTTAGGCCGTGGTATCACTCCGGTTGATTTGACCCATTCGTGCCGAAGCATGGCTCTCCCACGACTTAAGACTTAAATTTATACTATCAAAAATTTTATCAGACATATGTGGATAAGGTATCTTAGTAATATAATATTATTTTAAACGTGTTTCTCTCCAGATGGGTAGTGGGGATATGTCCCGGGACCGTCGTCGCTCCCGGTCTGCGTCGGCCGCCATGACCGGCGCACGCGCAGCGTCGGGCCCGTCCCCCGCGCGGGGCGCATATCATACTGACAGTAAGTTTATCATACATACTTAGCGGAACTACTATTTGTGTGATCCACAAATTGTTGTTCCGTGAGTCTGGGTGTGACCCACTACTCAGACTCAGAGTTGTTCCGTGCGGGATTCGAACCCGCGACATGTTGCAAGGCAGCCAGTTGCCCAGCCACCGCACCAACCGTGCAGTCAGATGTATCGATGTAATCGATTGTTGTTTCACGCCTTTGGTCTTCGGGACCGTGATATAAATGCTTTGAATACGACTCTTACCAGGAGACAGTCCCTGGACAGCCCTGGCGATAGCAGCTCGCGCGAAGAACATCCAGGTGGTGGAACTCTTGCTGCAGCATGGGGCCACGGACCCTCACTGCCGGGCCATCCGGGAGTGCGCCAGGCATGGACTCACTGAGTTACTGGCCAAACTGCTAGCTACTAAGGTATCAGACAAAGTCCTTGCTTCACGCCTGCTTTATTGGAGGCTGTGTTTCACGCCGTCGTTGTAAACTGTTGGTGCTCCCGTAAAGGTGGCGTTAACGCATGTGCGTATTATGACGATTGAAATTGTTTTAACTTTTTTTATTGTTACATTTATAAAATAGGAAAATTTGTTATTGTATGGATTATTTTCGCAACTTTTTTTTATTTATTTTATGACGGAAGATTGTAGAGGGAACTTTTTTTTCTCGGCTCAAAGTCAAAGTCAAAGTCAAAATCATTTATTCCAATTAGACCTTTACAGGCACTTTTGAACGTCAAACAAAAATTTTGAAGCTATATTGTCAGTCTGTCGGTCAGTCCTCTTAGTGAAGCTATTTGCTCGTTCCAAAGTGTAGATTCCGATGGAGAAGAACGAGCAAGAAACTCCATGGTTACTCTTTTTAAATCAGTTTCACATACAGATTCTTTTTATAAACAGTTGGTTCAATTATGTGAGAACAGTGTAACACTAATATTTAATCAAATATAAAAATAAAGTAACCTTAAGGACAATAGACAGTCTGGAGCTGACCAGTCCCAACTGACGGCGCTCGTTCACGAGCATGACACGTACACCAGCATCGCCCAACTCAACCATATTATAGAGAATTAAGCGATCCAGCGCCCATGCCACCGCCAGTGTGACCTTTCAGTGAGCATGACAACTCCAAGCTGTTATAAGGACCGACATTCTGCTAGTCTAACCAATTATAATAATAATATTATAATAGGTTACAGGGCTCGTATCCATAGCAACTTTTTTAAGCATTTATGAAGGTGTTTTTTTATATATACGATAAGTCGGAAAACGAGCATAGGTATTACCTGATGGTAAGCAATCAGCGCCGCCCATGGCCACTCGTAATAGCAAAGTTAACACCAGAGAAGTTATAAGTTTGCTGTCGATTGTTTGTGGGTTGTTAGAAATTTGTGATTATGAGATTTGGGGATTTATACATTGAGGAGGTTCCCCAATTTAACCATATTGCCTCCGGTAACCTCATTCAAACGGCGAAACAAAATGCTGTGGTTGGTTCACGGCGGTTTTCTGTGAGGCCGTGGTATCAATCCGGTCGTGCCGAAGCATGGCTCTCCCACACTTATCATTTGTCTTAATTTATTGATTATATTATTAACAATTTAGTATTGAATTCATTAATTCATTTAAAGCGTTTTTTTCTCCCCAGGCTTATCCAGACCCGGATTACAAGTTAAATAAGTCTACGATATCGGAAGCCCTCTTCAGTGACAGGGCCGGTGACTCGGCCCTCACGTATTCGGCCCTCTGCCCAACTACAGCCGTCATGGTGAACTGGAGGGAACTAAGGGCACAGCTAGCTACTATACGGTAAGGGGGGATAAATAATCTACACTAATATTATAAAGAGGTAAAATTTGTAAGTTTGTATGTAGGGGGTTATATTTGGAACCATTGGTCGGATTGCCAAAATTCTTTCACTGATAGATAGCTACAATATTCGTGAGTGCTATAGGCTATAAAACATCACACTACGATCTGACCGAGCAGAGCAACGGGTGGAACTGCGTGAGAGTAGCTAGTTTATAATATTTTGATACTTTATTTTAAATAAAGTCCCACTTTTCTCCTGTGTCGTGTGTGCGTTTACAAACATACAATGTCATATACACATCATACCTACACTTTGATTGCACAGTTGACGCAGTGGCTGGGCAACTGGCTGCCAAACAACGTTTCGCGGTTTCGATTCCTGCTTAAAACAATTCTTTGTGTGATCCACAAATAGTTGTTCCGTGAGTCTGGGTGTGATGTGTATGCAATGATATTATAAGTAAAAAGGTGTAGATAGGTTACAAGCGCTCAGCAAGTGATACATTAAAATGTGGCTAACTAGCCACACTTCTTCATATTTGTCTCTTTTTCACTCGCGATTATTGAATCATGCCATCTCACTTTGACGTCTAAACATACGAATTGTTCATGTGTGTATCAGTGTGTCGTTTTTGAAAATCGAATTTTCGAATTTTGTTAGGTAATTTATCTACACCATTTTACTTATAATATCATTGTGTGTATGTTTTTTTATTAATGTAATATGTCTGCAAACGAGCAGACGGATTACTTGATGGTAAGCAATCAGCGCCGCCTATGGACACTCGCAACGGATGAGTTACGAGTGCGTTGCCGACCTTTTAGGGATAAGGGATTTGGAGATTGAGGAGGGATTGGGGGAGGGGAAGGATTGGGCCTCCGGTAACCTCACTCACACGGTCAAACACAACGCTGTGGTTATATCACGCCGGTTTTCTGTGAGGCCGTGGTATCACTCCGGTCGAGCCGACCCATTCGTGCCGTGTGACATTGTATGTTTGTTATGTAAGTAAATGAAATATAAATATTTGTCCCAGCATGTCTTGGGTCCGCGCGGCGTGTCTCCGCGTGAACATCAAGCTGGGCGGCAGCGAGGCGGCGCTGCACGCGCTGACGCGGCTCGACGTCTCCAGCAACGACCTGAGGCTCCTACCTCCTGAACTCTTCACCATGCTCAGCTTGAGGTGACGATTATTTATTATGTTTTCGGCTTACTCACGTAATAATTTGACGAGATACTCGATTAGTTCCAAGCCATGCTAGAGGCCCATATTCATGAGCAGCATTCCGCGACACTGCTACTTGAGATGACGATACCTGGATACCTTAAGGTTTAAGAGTAACCATAAAGTTTCTTGCTCGTTCTTCTCCATAGGAATCTACACTTTGGAACGAGCAAATAGCTTCACTAGAGGACAGACGGACAGACTGACACATATAAAGTTAAACCTTATGATATCTTTTTTGCTTGACGTTCAAAAGTGCCTTTTGTGGTCTACTTGAAATAAAGAATTTGATTTGATTTATTCACAACTAGCTTTTGCCCGCGATTTCATTCGCGAGGAACAGTGACTTCGTGCAGATTTTTGGTTTAAAAAACTGCAAAAACGCTCCTGTATCGTAGGTACGGCTACAAATATTACTATATAAATGAATAGTTTCCTAGGACAAAAATAAATTTTATTCAACGTTTCAATACAATGAAATATTGAAATATAACCTATACTTTTATTCATCGATCGAGACACTAAGTTTTAGATATTGTTTAGCAAATTATTAAGAAATAAGTAAGCTATTTGACGCAAAAATACTATGACGGCATAACTCAGTGTTTTATACAAATGTCATAGAAAAGTATCGTTTTTGACATTTGGATAAAAGTATTGAAATTGACTAGTTGGAAACTACCGTATTCGCACCCGGAACAATATAGTTTTTCTTTCTTTCTTTCCATTACGGTGGATTACATAAACAGCTGTTTCGTGCGATTTCCTGCCATCTTTCCAATCATGCAGTCATTTCTTTCCTTCTCTACCTCTCTCTATCTGGATAGACCTCATAGAGAGGGTCTCTCTCTCTCTCTCTCTCTCTCTCTCTCTCTCTCTCTCTCTCTCTCTCTCTCTCTCTCTTATTTATTTACTTTTCCATCATACAGATACTTAAATGCGGCCCAAAACAAGCTAGAACGCCTCCCCACATCAGAAGATCCATTCGAAGAAGACCTTGATTCCAAGAAGAAGAGGAAGAAACAGAAGACCAGACCTGAAGTCTACTCCGCACCAGTATTGCAAGAGGTCTACTTACAGGTAAGGATCGTCATTACCACCTGGCCAAAGATTTTTTTATGTGTAATAAACACAGCATTATGTTTCGCCGTGTGAGTGAGGTTACCGGAAGCCCTATCTCTCCCCATCCCTTTCCAATCCTTAAATATCCGGAACCTTTATCCCTAAAAGCAATCAGCGCTGATCTTGGACACCTGTAATATCAAAGGAGTTACGACGTGTGTGTTGGGTGGCCTTTTGGAGTTCAGGAGATTCAGGGATTGGGGGAGAGGAAGAAAGGCTGGATCTCAGGTAATCTCAGTCACACGGCGAATCAATGCTGTAGTCGTTTCCCTCCGGTTTTCTGTGAGGCCGTGGTATCATTCTTCCAAATAAGACAATCCACCCCCCAATCCCTAATCCCTAAAAGGTCGCTAACGCACTTGTAACTCCTCTTTTATTGCGGGTGTCCATGCACAGCGCTGATTGCTTACCATCAGTTTATTAATCGGCTCATATATCCAATCCCATTCAAAACAAATGCTCCTCTATGTTTCTTGTTCCCAGGACAATCGTCTAGAGGAGTTACCAGCATCTCTATTCCGGCTGCCATCGCTGACGACGCTGGACGTGTCAAACAATAAGCTGCGCGCGCTGCCGGCCGCGCTGTGGACCGCCCCCGCCCTGCGGGACCTCAACGCCGCCCTCAACCACCTCCGGGACCTGCCCACTGGAGCACAGGTAGCGCATTGCATCTATACAACTACTCAACCACCTCCGGGACCTGCCCACTGGAGCACAGGTAGCGCATTGCATCTATACAACTACTCAACCACCTCCGGGACCTGCCCACTGGAGCACAGGTAGCGCATTGCATCTATACAACTACTCAACCACCTCCGGGACCTGCCCACTGGAGCACAGGTAGCGCATTGCATCTATACAACTACTCAACCACCTCCGGGACCTGCCCACTGGAGCACAGGTAGCGCATTGCATCTATACAACTACTCAACCACCTCCGGGACCTGCCCACTGGAGAACAGGTAGCGCATTGCATCTATACAACTACTCAACCACCTCCGGGACCTGCCCACTGGAGCACAGGTAGCGCATTGCATCTATACAACTACTCAACCACCTCCGGGACCTGCCCACTGGAGAACAGGTAGCGCATTGCATCTATACAACTACTCAACCACCTCCGGGACCTGCCCACTGGAGCACAGGTAGCGCATTGCATCTATACAACTACTCAACCACCTCCGGGACCTGCCCACTGGAGAACAGGTAGCGCATTGCATCTATACAACTACTCAACCACCTCCGGGACCTGCCCACTGGAGCACAGGTAGCGCATTGCATCTATACAACTACTCAACCACCTCCGGGACCTGCCCACTGGAGAACAGGTAGCGCATTGCATCTATACAACTACTCAACCACCTCCGGGACCTGCCCACTGGAGCACAGGTAGCGCATTGCATCTATACAACTACTCAACCACCTCCGGGACCTGCCCACTGGAGCACAGGTAGCGCATTGCATCTATACAATTACTCAACCACCTCCGGGACCTGCCCACTGGAGCACAGGTAGCGCATTGCATCTATACAATTACTCAACCACCTCCGGGACCTGCCCACTGGAGAACAGGTAGCGCATTGCATCTATACAACTACTCAACCACCTCCGGGACCTGCCCACTGGAGCACAGGTAGCGCATTGCATCTATACAACTACTCAACCACCTCCGGGACCTGCCCACTGGAGCACAGGTAGCGCATTGCATCTATACAATTACTCAACCACCTCCGGGACCTGCCCACTGGAGCACAGGTAGCCCATATAAAGTTAACATCAAACATATAAAGTTTCATTATCACATCATCAGCCTATAAATGTCCACTACTGAGCAAAGACCTCTTCTAACACGAAGAAGGTTTGAGCATTAACCACACCATTTACTAGCGGTCGTCCGCGGCTCCGTCCGCGTGGATGTCGACTTTACACTTATTCAAGTATTATTTTAAATTTTTCTCAACGTACAAACCTTCTCTGGACTTCCACGAATAATTCAAGACCAAAATTAGCCAAATCAGTAAAGGCATTGTTTCTCAGAAGACTTTCTCAGAAGATCTCCCTCATATCAAGTTTCAGCGAAATCGTTAGGGCCGTTTCCGAGACCACATGCTCTTTCAAGCAATCAGCGCCATCTGCCGGGCTGATTTATGAATCTAAACCATTCAAGGCGCCAGTCAAACGCATACAGAAAAATCATTTAAATCCGCCAAGCCGTTTAGGAGGAGTTCAATGACGTACACACGTACAGCAGAATTATATATATAAAGATAGACAGATATACCATATCTGCTATTAAGGTAATCAGAGATCAGACTCTGTAAGGAAGTTATATATGTTATATAACTTCCTTACAGAGTAACTCGGAATGCAGTAGCCCGCAGCAGTTGGCGTCTCCGACGGAGACTTCGCCCCAGCTTAGCGCTTCGCCCTCCATTGGAAGCGCGCAGTTCGCTATGGCTATGCAATCGGTAAGTTGATTTTAGTGGAAATTAGAAATTTTGAGTGAGTGAGTGAACGAGTGAGTGAATGAATGAGTGTTGTCCCTTTCTATCAATCTTTAAATGAATATCAATAATATAAAAAAACAATTTTATAGAAATCATCGTCAAGAAGCCCATCAATAGAACGCAGTGAGTCGGAGGCTGTTGATGATGATGAAAACGATTCGATTCCCGTGCTGGCCAACCGCGCTGGGAACGCTGTGTGAGTATATTTATATATCTAACTAGCAGCTCGCCCCTGCTTCGCACGGGTCTCATCATCTCGCTTACAATGAAAGGGTCCCTGTTACCCAACTCTCCCCTCTACTTTTCAATTTTTTTTTATTAGTTCCTTCTCCTGACAACGACATACCTAAAAAAATAAAGAATCAGTAGAATTGGTCCAGGCGTTATTGAGTTACGCGCTTGCCAATATATTTTGCGATTCATTTTTATATATATAGACTAGCGGCTCACCCCCGCTTCGCACGGGTCTAACTGTCTCGCTAACAATGAAAGGATCGTTTTTCCCCAATTTTCCCCTCTACTTTTCTAATATTTTCTTTGATAAGAACCTTCTCCTGACTATAACAAACACAACAAAAAAAAGAATCAGTAGAATTGGTCCAGGCGTTATTGAGTTATGCGCTTACCAACATATTTTGCGATTCACATTTATATATATAGATTATTAATTTAGCTTCCATCACTATTTTGGGGAGGGGAAGAGCCCTCTTAAGACTTTTCCAGCACTGGTCGGGCCACCCGTAACCCCGGATGTAGTTATTTGCTACAATTGGGTAGTTTCCTAAGTCAAAAATAAATTAATTTGACATTTCAATACAATAAAATATTGAAAAATAACTATACTTTTATTCATAGATCGATCGATACACTAAGTTTTAGATAGTTTTTAGTAAATTTTTAAGAAATAAGTAAGCTATTTGACGCTAACATACCTACTATGACGTCATAACTCAGTGTTTCATACAAATTTCATAGAAAAGTATCGTTTCTGACGTTTGGATAAAAGTATTCAATTTGACTAGTTGGAAACTACCGTATTGGCATGCAAATTTACATAAAAAAATTAAAACTTATCATCCAAAAAATCTTGTACTGAATAGTAACACTTGTGCAAAAGTAATTCTGTAACATGCTTTTTAAATTTCGTTAGTGGTTCTTCCTTGACAATATACGGTAACTTATTCCACGACACCATTAATGTACTTATTTAAATCAAAAATATTCGAGTCCATTAAACAATAATCCGAATTTTTGTTTACTCCTCCTTTTTTTTTTTTTTTTGTATAGTATGTCGGCAAACGAGCAGACGGTTTACCTGATGGTAAGCAATCAGCGCCGCCCATGGACACTCGCAACGGAGGAGTTACGAGTGCGTTCGTTTCCGACCTTTTAGGGATTAGGGATTTGGAGATTTAGGGATTTAGGAGGGATTGGGGGAGGGGACGGATTGAGCCTCCGGTAACCTCACTCACACGGCGAAACACAACGCTGTGGTTGTTTCAAGCCGGTTTTCTGTGAGTTTCCTATCTAAAATCTCTAAAATAATAACCACAATATACATTCATGTAGCATAATACTAAATTTATAAATGGTAGCCCATATCAAATTTTATTTTATTTAGTTAATACTTAACTATGATTAATACTGTTATCCTACCTATGTTAATTTAATTAGTTCTAGTTTTAATTTCTATATATTTTGACTGTATAAACGCATAATTTTTAGAATGTTGGTTAGCTCGTAACTGGCTAATGTATATGACCTACTGCCTATAACCAATACTTTAAACCACTTTGTATACATAAGCTGTGAGCCTACCTTATAATAATAATAATATTCCTGCTCGGAGGGTGGAAGCTGTTCGTAAGCGGCGGGTGGGCCAGTGATGCAGGATGCTTAGGCAGATGCAGATGATCTGAGTAGAAAGCTGGTGGCAGTTTCTTCACCCTTCAGCCACTCACATTTCCGTTGTCCCTCTGTTGCTATTACTAGCAACCATTCCCGGGGGCCCGGTCGGTGAGTTGGCGAGTCTCCACCGGCCATTTTTACGTGTATTTATTACATTGTTTCGGCAGGTGCCATAGTCCTTCCATAGTTCCCATCATACCAGCCCATAGCAACCCACACCCATAGCCTTGTACTTTGTTTCTTTATCCACAATAGTCCTACACTAACCGGGGACTGTCCTTGGGTGCATTTCCATAGTGCATACAGGGATAGTCGCCGGTTTGTGTCCCATTTCAATTAGATTAAAGTTGTCTAAAGGGCCTCTGCGCAGTTGGCTCCGGCCCCTCGTAAGCCTTCCAAACGACCGGGACCCTGTGGTCCCGTGATTGGTAAAGACATACAAATAATAATATAATAAATAAATATAAACAAGTGACGTCATAAAAATATTTTTTTTTCTTAAAAGTGTTGATTTATTTATTTGTTTTCACCAGCTGGTCAGAAGCACGTCGAGCTCACACATGGCGGGGTGTTGTAGAGGGGGCGCCGCCCTCGACTGCCCGAGGAGGCTCCGCCCTCACGGCGCTCAACCTCGCTCACAACCAGTTCACCTGCGTCCCCTGCGCCTTGGCGTGTAGAGCTCCGAATCTCACCAGACTAAATATGGCTTATAATTCCCTTAGGTAAGTCTATAGTAATATTTTAAAGAGGTAAAATTTGTAAGTTTGTATGTAGGGGGTAACCTTTGGAACCACTAGTCGGATTGCCAAAATTCTTTCACTGATACATAGCTACAATGTTCTTGAGTGTTGTAGGGTATAAAACATCACGCTTCTGTCAAATGGGGCCGAGCAGCGGATGAAACCACGCGAAAGCAGCTAGTAAAATATAAGTCCAGGTTTCCTCACGAAGTTTACCTTCACCGTATGTCAGTGGTGTCTAAATAATCATAAAAAGTACATATAACTCGGAAAAAGTCACATTGGTACTTGCCAGGTTTCGAAACCTCATAAAAGAAACAATTATAAATTAGTCAAATCATACATTCATACCAATCTCAAGTGTACAAAGTCTTGCTTCAGCTCGACTGGAGTGATACCACGGCCTCACAGAAAACTGACGTGAAACATCTACAGCTTTGTTTCGCCGTGTGAGTGAGGTTACCGGAGGCCCAATACTTTAAAACTTTCAGGTTTGAAACACAACGCTGTTTTTGTTTCACGCCGGTTTTCTGTGAGGCCGTGCATGGTTTCACTCCGACCGAGCTAAAGCAAGGCTTTTTAACATTTAAGATTGGTATGAATGTATGATTTGACTAATTTATAATTTGTTTCTTTTATGAGGTTTCGAAACCTGGCAAGTACCAATGTGACTTTTTCCGAGTTATATGTACTTTCTATGATTATTTAGACACCACTGACATACGGCGAAGGTAAACATCGTGAGGAAACCTGGAATAAGTCCAGGTTTCCTCACGATGTTTACCTTCTTTCTTTCTACTCTTATTTCTATTATTATAAGTTTGAAATAACCAATTCGCCTTGAGCCCTCTTCTCCGTGTGAGAAAAGGCCGTTGTCCAGCAGTGGGCACTTATAGGCTGATGATGATGATGATGATATTTGCTTCACAGATCGATGTCCTATGTGACATCATACCCAACCAGTCTACGGCAGTTGGACCTGAGCCATAACGAAATCACATGCTGGCCCAGTCTACCTCAAGTAAGTATTCCACAGAGCAGACGGATTACCTGATGGTAAGCAATCAGCGCCACACATGGACACTCGTAATTTCAAAGGAGTTACGAATTGGCGACCTTTTGTTTGTTGTTAGAGTTTTGAGGATTGGCAGCTGGGGATTCAATAAATGATTCAATAAATAATAAAAAAAAAATTTCAAACATAAATATATATAACTTACTTGCCTATATAACCTTAGTCTTAGTCAACAAAAATAAGTAACATAGCCGTTAAGAGCTTCCTCTCTCCTATCCCACTTACTTTGCTGTGCCCGACAGGGTCCATATGAACTATTTATAAGTACTACCACCTAAGAATACATGTGGAAAGCAATAAAGTATTGAGTATTGAGTATTGGTAGGGAACTTTGTTATTCGTGGATTGGAGGTTAGGTAATTAGGTTATTAGAAAACTTAATTATGCGTAGATTTGAGATTAGGGAATTAAGTCATTAGAATACTTAGTTATGAGTAAATTGGAGATTAGGGAATTGGGAAAATAAGTGACTAGAGGACTTAGTTATGCGTAGTTTGGAGATTAGGGAATTAGGTAATTGGGTGATTAGAGGACTTTGTTATACGTGGATTGCGGTTTGCGGACCGGACTTTTTGGAAGTTGCTATTATGTGATAGGTCGGCAAACGAGCGGAAGTATTACCTGATGGTAAGCAATCAGCGCCGCCCATGGACATCCGCATTAATAGATTAGGAAAGCTTTGGAGACCTTTTTGGCATTAGAAATTTGGAGATTTTGAAATTGGGCATCCGGTAACCTCACTCACACGGCGAAACACAACGCTGTGGTTGTTTCACGCCGGTATTCTGTGAAGGCGTGGTATCACTCCGGTCGAGCCGACCCATTCGTGCCGAAGCATAACTCTCCCACACTTCAATAAACATGTTTTTATAATCACCAGGTGGAAAGTTTTGGTTCAACCGAAGGGGATCCTCTGGCGTGTTTCTGTCCTAACCCTGGCAACAGCGTGAGGTCCCGGCCCCGCTCGGGTGGCTCTGTGAGGTCTCAGCTTCTCAGCGCCGCCTGTGTCGCCAGGCGACACCTTCGGCTCGAGGGGTTAAGGACGCTGGTAAGTGGACTTTGAGATAAGGGAAGTGAGATGTGGGATAGAGGGGACTGGTAGAGAGTGAGAGAGAGAGAGAGAGAGAGAAAGAGAAAGAGAGAGAGCGAGAGAGAAATAGAGAGGGGGGAGGGGGTTAATTTTCTTTTACCACTCTAAGATTTCTCTCTCTCTCTCTCTCTCTCTCTCTCTCTCTCTCTCTCTCTCTCTCTCTCTCTCTCTCTGTCTGTCTCACACACACACACACATATACATTTTAGCCGATATTGGCGATCCTGTTAATTAAAATAAGTCGCCGATGTCTCACACGAAATATTTCTCCTGTGTCGTGTGTGCGTTTACAAACATACAATCACATGCACATCACACCCAGACTCACGGAACAACAATTTGTGGATAACACAAAGAGTTGTTCCGTGCGGAAATCGAACCCGCGACACGTTGCGCGGCAGCCAGTTGCCCAGCCACCGCACCAACCGTGCAGTCATCGTGACCAGATAGAGTTATCGCTTCGTTGGAATGATAACCAATCCTGCTGTTTTTTTTTCGCTTCAAATTTTCTATTTTTTCTCATTCTCTCTTCTTATATCTCTCGCTCTTTTTCTATCAACAATAAGATGCTGATCCAGTAGTGTTCAACTTTTCAAAAATTGTTTTTTTTTTTAATTTAATAGGTCGGCAAACGAGCAGACGGATTAGCTGATGGTAAGCAAGCAGCGCTGCCCATTGACACTCGCAACGGAGGAGTTACGAGTGCGTTGCCAACGTTTTAGGGATTAGGGATTTGAAGATTTAGGGATTGGGGGAGGGGAAGGATCGGGTCTCCGGTGACGTCATTCACTCGGCGAAACACAACGCTGTGGTTGTTTCACGCCGGTTTTCTGTGAGGCCGTGGTATTACCCCTGTCAAGCCGCAAGCATTGATGCCGAAGCATGGCTCTCCCACACTTAATTAAAATTGAATTGTCAAAAATTATTAATACCTATTTAATATTTTTTTGTCTTAAAATCGCATCTTGTGACGTCATAATATTATTACGTCCAGTAGCTTACTTATATAAAAAAAATATTAAAATGAAGTATATAGTCAAAGCAATTAATGACAGTGTGATCATATTTTAATAATTATCATTGTATTGTAAAGACAAAATTATTTATTTTTGACCTAGGAAACTACCCTATTCAAAATTCCTACGACCTTTGTACCCCACCGTAGAGAGCAAAACTCTGCAAAAAACCACGCTAAAACACTTCTTAAAGCTAAAATGTTTTATTTTAGCTTCAATCCAAACTAATATTATAAAATTCGAAAAGTAGGTAAATCTGTCTGTCTGTCTGTCTTTTCTTCACGGCTAAACTACTAGAACGATTTCTGTGTAATTGGCTACAAACATAGTGTTACGTGCCTGACGTCACGTTCCTGACTATGCGGGCTTGGGTTACGGGATTGGATGAAATGAAACACTAATACCGGTTTTCAGACTTTCTATTGCACTTAAGTTACAGCGTCCACGGAGTTAAGTTATCGGCGTTCTTCTCCAGCAGAGTCCGGCCGACTGACACAACTTTGCCGTTCACGCTGACTTAACTCACTTAACTGACTGCACTTCACTATTTCACTGCACTTCACTATTTCACTCACTTTTCTTCTTTTTCACTTCTTCCTTTTCTTCCGAATCACTTTAGACTTAGAAGTCAACTGCCAGCGGTGAGCCGCAGTTCTGCTTATATACCCCCGGTCAGGTTCTGGAACATTCAATTTCGTTATTCTTTTTGATCGTCATGCCTCCAGAACCTTCCAATAATTTCGCTATTCATTTTTATTTATTCTCCTTCTCACTCTTTAATTTTTCATCTCTTTCACACAAATAATTCCAGAAAGTTCGACAAAACTTCCATCAACTAAAAAACTTCATGTTTACGGCGGGACTCGAACTCGGGGTCTCTGTGGTGTAATCCACACGCCTTACCAATTACACCAACTCGTATTGACAATTCACGACGAAATTTACAATCTCTAGGCAACGTTTGACAACCATCCATTGACGTCATGATGTCAAAGAGTTTTCTGTCACACTGCCCCCCTCTTAGATTCGCTCGTCCCGAGCATCGTTGCTGCCGTAATACCTCGCCAACCTGTCTATATGGACAACTTTCAAAGGGCTCCTTGAAGTCTTCCGAATTCTGTAAGTAATGTCATTGATCTTCGTGACTATCTCATAAGGACCTTCCCAACTCGGTTGCAGCTTCGGAGATTTTCCCTTCCTTCTGACTGGATTATGAAGCCAGACCAATGACCCCTCTTCAAACCCAACAGAATTGGCTCGTCGATCATAGCGCGTCTTTGCGCGATCACTAGCTTGAAGACCGGCCTCCCTGATCTGCTCATAAATGTCCAACATTTTTGCCCTTAACTCGCTTATGTAATCGCTAAACTCGGTGCGAGAGTCGCCAGGTGGACAGCCCGATACAAGATCTGCCGGTAATCTCAATTCCCTTCCAAAATTTGCAAATGCAGGCGTCTTTGCGGTACTTTCATGTATAGCAGTCCGATAGGCAAGCAAGAAGAGAGGTATGTAAGTGTCCCAATCTCTCTGATGGCTGTCAACCACCTTTGCTAAGTGTCGCTCCAATGTTTGGTTGAAGCGTTCGACCATTCCATCTGACTGTGGATGATAAGGGGTCGTTCGAGTCTTATGGATTCCCAAAAGTTTACAAGTTTCCTGAAAAACTTGGGATTCAAAGTTCCGTCCTTGATCACTGTGCATCTCCAAGGGTACTCCAAATCGGGTGAATACTTCGTTTACCAACTTCGTCGCTACAGTTACTGCCTCTTGATTCGGTATGGCAAAGACCTCCGGCCATTTTGTAAAATAATCCATAACCACTAAAACGTAGCGATTGCCCGAATCAGTGATTGGAAATGGTCCAGCGATGTCTAAGGCTATTCTCTCCCAAGGCATACCAACATTGTAGATTTTCATCGCCCCCCTGCTCCTTGTTTGTGGACCCTTGACAGCTGCACAACTAGTGCATTTCCGGCACCAATCTTCGACGTCATATTTGCAATGCAACCAATAAAACCTCTCCTTGATCTTCACCAAAGTCCTCCTAATTCCCAAATGTCCTCCAGAAGATCCATCATGGAACGCTTTTAATACATCCCTTATTTTTGAACGAGGCACCACCAATTGCAAATGCTCGTCTTTGCCGTTTGTTGATTCCCATTTCCTGCACAGAAGTCCGTTATGCAGCGTAAGGCTTTTCCACTGTGCCCTTTCGTTACCGCGCTATATTGGGCGACGTCACTCCAACTTGGCTTGTTACCACTTCGTAGCCACTCCAGTATTGGTTTAATATCTGCATCTCTTTCCTGTTCTAATTTCATCGCATCATTTCCCCATGCCTCGTCAACAGTATCAGTCCTTATCACCTTAAGAAAAGCAGTTTCCTTCTTAGCACAATGTTTGCAATCTTCCACGCATGGGCGTCTCGATAATGCATCTGCGTTGCCATGAATTCTTCCGCCGCGATGTTCGATTTCAAAGTCAAATTCCTGAAGTTGTTCCAGCCATCTGGCTACTTGGCCTTCGGGATCCTTAAACTGAAGCAGCCATTTCAAAGCAGCGTGATCAGTTCTGATCAAAAATTTCCGTCCCAGTAAATACTTCTTGAAATGGTGCAGGGTTTTGACTACAGCCAGCAATTCCCTCCTGGTCACGCAATAATTCCTCTCTGGCTTGGATAGTGACTTGCTGAAGTAAGCAATAACCTTCTCCTGCTCACCATCGCGTTGTGAAAGGACACCTCCTATTCCAATATTGCTGGCATCCGTATCAACTACGAATATTCCTTTCGCGCTGGGATATCCGAGAATTGGTGTGTTACAAAGCCGTTCTTTTAGTTCTCGAAAGGCTTGCTCACAATCCTCGTCCCAAACAAAGGCACGTTTCTCCTCTGTCAATCGATGCAATGGCTTGGCAATGTCCGAGAATCCTTTCACAAACCGCCGATAATACGAGCACAATCCAAGAAATGCCCGAACTTGCGTTTTGTCTTTAGGTGTTGGCCATTCCTTGACAGCGACAGTCTTGGCTGGATCAGTCTCAATTCCTCTCTCAGAGATAACATGTCCTAGATAATTAATTCACTTCGCGCTTGAAGAAAGAGCATTTCTTTGGACTCAACTTCAAATTTGCTCCACGCAGCTTGTCGAGTACCTTTTCCAATTTCCTTAGATGATCGTCAAAATCCCGTCCAACAATGATGATGTCATCGAGGTAAACTAGGCAGGTTTCGCCCAGCAGACCCGCCAGCACCTGTTCCATCAAACGCTCAAAGGTTGCCGGTGCATTGCATAATCCAAATGGCATCACCTTAAATTGCCAGAGTCCCTTCCCAGTTGAGAATGCAGTCTTTTCCTTGGGATCCAAATCCACCTGCCAATAGCCGCTTTTCAGATCGAGCGTTGAAAACCATTTCATGCCACTCAGTGTGTCAAGTGTGTCATCGATTCTTGGTAACGGGTAGCTATCCTTCTTGGTTACATCATTCAATCGTCGATAGTCTACGCAAAACCTCGTTGAACCATCTTTCTTCTTGACAAGCACGACAGGTGAACACCAGGGGCTAGAAGAGGGCTCTATCACGTCATTTTTCCTCATATCGTCAATCATTTGTTCAACCTCTTTCTCACGAGCGAATGGTATGCGTCTGGGCCTTTGACGAATTGGCATTGTATCACCTGTGTTTATTTTATGCTTCACCACACCAGTTCGGCCAATATCACCATCGCTTCTTGAAAACACATCAGAGAATCGAAGAAGTAAATTTCTAGCTTTCATAGTCTCCACTTTTGTCAGACTTTTGTTTTCGTCTAAGATTTTCGTTACAAAGTCTATTCCCGTACTGTACTTTTTCACAAGATTCTCTGAGCATTTTCTTATCCAGGCCACTTCTTCCAATACGCCCACAGGCTCTCCTTCTTCAATCGTAATTTTTGAATCACTGAAGTTGAATACCGGAATGCGGTTGACATCAGATGACCCCACGACAGTTCTTGCCGGTAGCCATGAGTTTACGTGTTCCGATTTATCAATCACAGCGCACCTTCGAGGTAAACTTCCTTCCCTCCTCCTAGGTAATGCGATTGGTACGAGAGTCTGTGATTTTGGTGCAAGAACAGTTCTTCTTAAACAGCAAACTTTTCCTAGGGTTCCACCCTTCATCGGAATTTCCTCAGTTCCACATAGTAATACTCCAGATTTTAAGTCGATATTACACTGGTGCCCTCGCAGGAAGTCAAGTCCCAGGATGCAGTCATCCAGAATTTTGGCCACAATAACCTCATGTCGATAAACACGTTCCCCAATTTTGATTGTTACATGCAATTTTCCACTTATCGGTATGCACTGGCCGGTAGCTGATTTCATTTGTAGGCCAACAATTGGTTTAAGGTGTTTCCTGATGTTTTGCTCGAGCAGCCGAACATTCATCACCGTCCTTGAAGCTCCAGTATCTAATGTTAGCTGACTGTTTTTCCCATTTACTTGACCGTCTATCACCAGAGTATTTCCATCGTTAGTTTGCTTGATGTAGATTGTTGGGGTTATTCCACTACCTGCCAGCGCCCACCCCGCAGCCCTGGCTGGATTTAGTTTCCCTGCTGGTCAGAAGTTGAGACCGCCGCGTCCTGGCGGTTCACCTTCTTCGGGCAGTTGCTCCGCATGTGCCCACGCTCTCCGCATCCATAGCACATGAAGTTCCGACGGCGTGAAGGTACCTGCTCCGTTGTCGTCATTTCCCGCAGACGTAAGGTACGGGAGTTACCACGCACGGCTTCCACTTCCAATGCATGGGCCAGAGCTTCTTTCATGTTCTTGTGATGGCCCAGATGAACAGCGGCTCGTACTTCGGGGTCCCGAATACCGTCAATGAACGCTTGGAGAAGCGTGCCTTCAATCATTGACGGAGTCGACCGGAAAGCTCGACGCACAAGTTTCTCGATTTCCACGGACCATTGCTGTAGGCCCTCATTAGCACGCTGAGTACGCTCTTTTAATTGCGCTCTGTACACGTGCTCGAGGTGGCTGTCTCCAAAACGTGCCTCAAGTGCGTCGAGGAGGGCACTAAAGCTGAGATCCCCACTTGCGCCGATAGCTTCCAGCACTGAGAGCGCTTGATCACGGAGGGCCAGGGTAAGGGCTGACTGTGCTTCCTTCTGAGTCCAACCATAAGCCTCCATAAGTGTCTCAAACTGTAGCTTGAACGCGGTCCAGGATGTTGTTCCGTCGTAATGGGGAATCTTAAGCCCTTTCGTTGCACTTGAAGCCGCATTTGGGGCTTCAAAAACGGCTGCAAGACGGCTTCGGCTCTTCAAAGGGCTTGAGCTTGTCACTTCCTGCTTGATTTTGGAGATCTCTTCTTCCACTCTCTCCTCTATCGCCTTGACGCGATGTTCCAACTTGCCTAACCCTTCCTCCACTTCTTGTACCCGTTCGACAGCCTTTTGCAGTCCCTTCGTGAAATCCTTATGCATGTCTTCCAAGCGACGCGCTTGCTCCTCTTGGCGGCGAGCTTGATCCTCTTTCAGCTCCCGTAGCTGCTCCGCCTGACAGCGTGCATGCTCCTCTTGGCGACGAGCTTGATCTTCTTTCAGCTCCCGTAGCTGTTCTTCTTGGCGGCGCGCTTGCTCTACCATCATTTGCTGCAGCTGTAGCAGTAGATCCACCTGCACAGGCTTGGCTTCTGCATCGCTGGTTTGAGCTGCAGCACTCTCTTCCCTCACACGCTGCGCTTCTGCCATTGCACGGGTACTCACTCCTCTTACGTCCTGCGGCACTAGCGGCATTTTTCTCCAATCCCACTTCTGACACCAAATGTTACGTGCCTGACGTCACGTTCCTGACTATGCGGGCTTGGGTTACGGGATTGGATGAAATGAAACACTAATACCGGTTTTCAGACTTTCTATTGCACTTAAGTTACAGCGTCCACGGAGTTAAGTTATCGGCGTTCTTCTTCAGCAGAGTCCGGCCGACTGACACAACTTTGCCGTTCACGCTGACTTAACTCACTTAACTGACTGCACTTCACTATTTCACTGCACTTCACTATTTCACTCACTTTTCTTCTTTTTCACTTCTTCCTTTTCTTCCGAATCACTTTAGACTTAGAAGTCAACTGCCAGCGGTGAGCCGCAGTTCTGCTTATATACCCCCGGTCAGGTTCTGGAACATTCAATTTCGTTATTCTTTTTGATAGTCATGCCTCCAGAACCTTCCAATAATTTCGCTATTAATTTTTATTTATTCTCCTTCTCACTCTTTAATTTTTCATCTCTTTCACACAAATAATTCCAGAAAGTTCGACAAAACTTCCATCAACTAAAAAACTTCATGTTTACGGCGGGACTCGAACTCGGGGTCTCTGTGGTGTAATCCACACGCCTTACCAATTACACCAACTCGTATTGACAATTCACGACGAAATTTACAATCTCTAGGCAACGTTTGACAACCATCCATTGACGTCATGATGTCAAAGAGTTTTCTGTCACAATAGTTTAGAACTCGAGAGAGGACATAGGATAGTCCTTATACCAAAAATCTGCTGGATGTCACTATTCCAAGCGAACGAAGTCGCGGGCAAAAGCTAGTATACTATATTAAATTGTTCTATACTTCTTCCAGATTCTGGCAAACAATCTCCTGACCCGCATCCAGCTGACTACGGACGATGATGGTCTATCATCAGCCACCCAAGAAGACTCCACAACTGATGACGATGATGAATGGGTAAGACTGCCTCCTGTATGTTTTTACCTGACGAGTAAGGGTAGCTCGCCGCCCGACCAGAACCAGACCCGAGTGTACGGCGCTTTACGTTCCGCGCGCGCCTCAAAGAGCCAATAGACCACCACAGACGGGGCCCTATAGGGCTGATGTTCAGCCGGGGTCCTATAGGGCTGATGTTCAGCCGGGGTGGAGGGGTAAGCGCAATGAGGCACCGCGACCTAGAGCAGGAGTAGGAACAGGGAGGTTTTTAGTCAGTAAGAGTGTGACACTCCCTCCCGCCTGACCCTGGGCGGGAGAACTCATTTGATGATTTTCCCCTCACAAAAAAAGGGTTATGATTTTTTATGTATTTATGTATGTTCATCTGTTTCCTCGTTACTGCTAAACTACTAATCAGAATTCGACTTATGACATATCATTAGAAACGTCTTAATTGTCTGCTGGTTATAGGCTATATGCGGTATCACCAAATCGAATGTGGCGTCTTCTAGCGGACAAAACATTTATAGAAAAACAATAATTATAAAAATTCAGAATAAAAAAATAAGAGAAATATATATGTATATGTTTGGTATCATTTGAAAGCGCTTTACTTGTGCACGTTGAATATATATGTATAATGATATATTTATACTATTTTACTACCCGACTACGGCAAAGCAAAAGGAGGGTTGAACCGACGCTGAAAAAGTATAAAACAAGATTTTCAGAATTGTACGGGTATTGAGTAGTTAACTCCATACACTGATTTGTCGTGAAGATTTGTAAGTTGAGTTAATATAGGTAGGTAGAGAAACACTTTTCCCCTTAAATACACACGTTAAGTATATTTATGTAAAAGTAAATTACTACAGTGGAAGGCGATTATTTCTCTTAGTTGTTGATAGCTATCAAGTTATAAGTTTACTATATTATAATATGGCCGTCATCTCATTTTATTATGCGACAGTACGGGGCGCCTCGCTGGCCGAAAGTAGGTTGACGAGTTTTTTTTTTTTTTACTAGCCTATATTGTCCCACTGCTGGGCAAAGGCCTCCCCATCTCGCTTCCACACCTCCCGATCCTTCGACCTTGTCCACCAGTCTCGACGATAGGCGTCTAGATCGTCACGCCATCTTTTCCGGAGCCTACCCCGCCTGCGGCGTCCATCCTGAGGTGTCCACTGGGTGACAATAGTGGCCCATCTCTCTGGATGCATTCGGCTGAGGTGTGCGGCCCAGTCCCATTTTAATTTTGCCGCCTTTTGGCCTACATCAGCGAATCCTGTTTTGGAACGTATCACGGTATTCCGTATGCGACGAGTAAGTTAGAAAAATGTACGGCGATGAGACCGTATAAGAATACTGAAAGGCGTAGTCACACGTTACCTTACCTACCATACCTGCACTTTGACAACGTGTGAGTACGCCTTTCAGTATTCTGAAAATCTTGTTTTATACTTTTTCAGCGTCGGTTTTTGTCGTAGTTGGGTTTTAGTTTTTACACTTTTTATTATTGTTTTCATCTCTCACCAGAACACAGGATCACTCCTCAAAGGTCGCCTCCTCTTCCCCCTCCTGTCGATGCTGGATGTCTCCTGCAACCTGCTCCGAGGTATACCACCAGCGATACACGAACTCACCAACCTCTCCGTCCTAAACATTAGCGGGAACAAAGGTTAGTTATTATTCTTGTGATTGTTATTTATTTAGTACTCTGAAAGTTTGGCACGGTGGCTGGGCAACTGGTTGCCGCACTACGTGTGGCGGATCCGATTCTCGCACGGAACATCTCTCTTTCAAGTTTGGGAGAGCCATGCTTCGGCACGAATGGGTCGGCTCGACCGGAGTGATACCACGGCCTCACAGAAAACTGGCGTGAAGCAATACTTATGTTGTATTTCGTCGTGTGATTGAGGTTACCAAAGGTCCAATTCCCCCTCCCCACCTTTTTTTTGCGGCACTGCGTAAAATGCTTTTACGCATACCCTTCACGTCGGGGGACGGGAGAGGGTTATGTGGAACTCCCCGGTAAAGACGTTCCCGGTATACCCACTAAAAACCCAGTGGCACTCCGGCCTCGCCTGAGTGGAGGGGGTCTGGAAATCCATGTCGTCCAGTCCCTCACCTTACGGCAGGCCCCTCAATTCCACCCCTAGGAGCCTTTAAGATGGCCAGAACACGGGTGATTCGATGCAGGCGCTTGCTCCCCCGCGCTTGTCGCCCGCTGATCACCCCCTGGAGCAGGTGGGGACGGACGTTGTGTTCGCCGTCCTCGTGCGGCTTCGTTGGCGGAGCGGCGCTGCAAGAGGGTCACCCTCCCCACCTACTCTATCCTCAAATCTCTTATCCGTAATATTCCCTAACAACTTACAAGAGGCTGACAACGCTCTTGTTGTAACTCCTTTGGCATTACCAGTGTCCCTGGGCGTTTTAGATAATCCTTTTTTTTTAGTAGGGGATTTGAGGATTCAGGTTTGGGAGAAAGGGGGGGGGGGATAGAAGGACACTTAAAGTGTTTTTTTATGGTATAGGTCAGCAAACGAGCAAACGGATTACCTGATGGTAAGCAATCAGCGCCGCCGATGGACACCCGCAACGGAGGAGTTACGAGTGCGTTGCCGACCTTTTAGGGATTAGGGATTTGGAAATTTAGGGGCTGGGGAGGGATTGTGGAAGAGGAAGGATTGGGCCTCCGGTAACCTCACTCACACGTCGAAATACAACGTTGGTTTTCTGTGAGGCCATGGTATCACTCCGTTGGGCCGACCCATTCGTGCCGAAGCGTGGCTCTGCCACACTTTAAACAATGTATAAAGTATGATTTTTGTCTGTTTCATTTTTTTATTGTTTAGCACTGATTCTTATGCTTTCTTCAACAGATATAACAGACCTTCCCCCACAAATGGGTCTTTTATCCCGTCTCTGGAATCTCAATACGGTTGGATGTTCCCTACAAGAGCCGCTTCGCTCAATGCTACAATGTGGACGGTACAAGAGCATGGATATCGTTGGCTACCTCAAATCAGTATTACAAGAAGCCAGGCCTTATACGAGAATGAAACTTATGTTCGTTGGTTTACAGGTGAGAATTGATTGCTTAATGATGTTAAGTTTTTTTTTTTTATGTAATTGGTCGGCAAACGAGCAGACGGATTACCTGATGGTAAGCAATCAGCGCCGCCCATGGACACTCACAACGGAGGAGTTACGAGTGCGTTGCCAACCTTTAAGGGATTATGGATTTGGAGGTTTAGGGATTGAGGAGGAATTAGGGAAGGGGAAGGATTGGGCCTCCGGTAACCTCACTCACACGGCGAAAACTTAAGTTTGTAAGTACTTTTGAACGTCAAACAAAGATTTTTTAAATAAAATGTGTCAGTCTGTCGGTCTGTCCTCTAGTGAAGCTATTTGCTCGTTCCAAAGTGTAGATTCCTATGGTTACTCTTTTCCTATCATTTTCACAATTGACTGCACTGTTGGCGCGGTAGCTGGGCTGGCTGTACTGAACAACTTTGTGTGTGGTCAACAAATTGTTGTTCCGTGAGTCTGGATGTGATGTTTTTGTTTGGAAACGCACCCACAACCCCGAAGATAACTCTAGTGAAAGGCAAAGTGTGAAAAATGTGAAAAAATGATTTTTTTTATTTACAAAAGTAAATAAAAAAAATCATTTTTTCACATAATTCAGTCGGTTCTATTTTAGAGGATAAGGCGGGCGCGCCGCCGCTGATGGCTCAGTGCGCTGCTCGCTCTGGCGGCGGCCGGACGTGCGATGCGCTTGAATGCTCCGAGTGTAGGTCACTACACTATTATGGAAGAACAGTGTGACACTAATAAAAAATAAAATGTTGAATGTTAGTGCCAAAATGTTATTTTTTTTATATAGTAACTATCTCCAGACTTACTAAATTTATTGAATATAACGACTTACGTGAATAACCGCGAAAAGCTCTACTTGTTTCAATACTGTAGTTCCAACTATTTACCTATATTGTCTAGGCTTAGACCTTTCTAAGTGTGTTAGGTTCTTGATGATAGGAGCGTAATTGATTAACTCGAATAGGAACTGTACTTAACATATATTTGCTTAACTTTGGCACTTTACAAATTTCTTATATTTGGTATGACTCTAAATTATATAATGTAAAAATTAAGAAAGCAGGCGTAGACGCCGACGACCCCGGTGCACTCGCTTATATAGGTTACCGGTAGGTACACGGTAAAGTGGTAGGGAGGTGGCTGCCGTGGTGGTGCACCCCGCACTCGTGCGCGTTAACAATATATAATACTTTTATCCAAATGTAAAAACGATACTTTTCTATGAAATTTGTATGAAACACTGAGTTGTGACGTCATAGTATTTTTGCGTCAAATAGCTTACTTATTATTTATTTATTTATTATGGCTTAAAAGGTACATTTTACATTATAAAAAGTATAAAATGTCCAACAAAACTGTATACACAGTTTGTCTGTTGGATCAGATTTCAAAAACTTCTTAACCTTCAAAACCTAGGAAACTACCCAATTCACAGCGGGACTATTCAGAGTTTGTTATAAAAGTCCCGTTGTGAATTGAAACTGGTAGAGCTATTCTACACTACATTTGGTTGATATTGTGTTTTTTTTTCAAGCTTTTTCTTGAGCCCTAAAGAATATAATGGAAAATTTTATGTGGTGTACGTGTTTCAGTCAATTTAAATGAAAACAAATCAAGAATATTGCTTATTACTTCTAATTAAATACATTCCATCCAATATAAAAAAAACGATGGCCCAAAATTTTTACTTTGATCATTTTCTTAATTTATTAATCTATACTACTAGCAGTAAACCGCGACTCCGCCCAAATAGATGTCGAGTTTACACTTTTTCAAGATTTTTTTTTAATTCTCTATTTTTTGGACTTCCACGAATAATTCAAGGCCAAAATTAGCCTAATCGGCAAAGGCATTGTTGAGTTATAACATTACTGTAGGAATTATTTAATATTGTTATATTTTGTAATTTATTTCTCAAAAAGTGAGCGTTACAAAAAAATTTTTCAGACGACAAAAAAAAAAAAAAGAAATGAGAGCGCCACACAGCGGCAAAAATGCGAACTAACTTATTTGGGTGCGTTCCATTTGTGACAATTATAACGAAAATTGGCATTGATTTTTATAAGATAGATTTATAGATTATTCTATTAGCGATTTATAGATTTATTATTGTTTTCCTCAGGGCATCGGCAAGACAAGCTTACTCGAATGTTTGCGGCAAGAATCTTCCATACAGCATCGGAGGAAACCTACTGAGGTATGTCTATAAAAAATTCACATCTCATCATCCATCCACATATTATTTACTAGCTACTCTCGCGCGGTTTCACCCTCTGCTTGGCTCCATTTGATCGTAGCATGATGTTTTAAGCTATATTATTTTAGCCTATAGCACTCAAGAACATTGTAGCTATATCTATCAGTGAAAGAATTTTGGCGATCCGACCAACGGTTCCAAAGATTACCCCCCTACATACAAACTTACAAACTTTACCTCTATAATATTAGTATAGATTGTTGTTTTTGTATTTTGAAATTAAATTTATAGTCTCAAAGTTCACTTCTTGTTGCACCTACCATACTCTCTCTGCATCACCCTAAGGTTGACTGGTAGCAATGCCTATGGCATTAAGTCCGCCTATATAATACTATGTTGCATAAAGTTTAAATACATCATCAGCCTATAAGTGCCCACTGCTGAGCAAAGGCCTCTTCTCACACGGAGAAGGTTTGAGTTTTAATCACCACGCTCGCTCAAGGCGGATTACCGATATCAAAATCTTTGCGTGATCCTGATTTTAAATCAGATTCTTTATTAAATTATTTAGTAACTAGCTTTTGCCCGCGACTTTGTTCGCGTGGAATAGTGACTTCCTGCAGATTTTTGGTACTAAAACTATCCTATGTCCTTTCTCGAGTTCCAAACTATATCTGTAAGTACCAAATTTCACAGAAATAGTACCAGTAGTTTAGGCGTGAAGAAAAGACAGACAGACAGAGTTACTTTCGCATTTATAATATTAAGTTTGGATAGTTTGGATGCGTTATTTGATTATGTGATAACAGTGTAATACTAATATTTAATCAAAGAAACATAAAAAGAAAATAACCTTAAGGACAATAGACAGTCTGTAAATGACCAGTCCCAATTCATGGCGCCCGAATTCATGGCGTCCATTCTTTACTATATACTACTTATATAATATTATAAAGTTGAAGAGTTTGTTTGTTTGTTTGAACGCACTAATCTCCGGAACTACTAACTAAAATTGAAAAATTCTTTTTGTGTTTGTTAGTCCATTTATCGAGGAAGGCTATCCAAACTAATAATAGCTTTACCTATGAAATTGCCGTTTTGCATGAAAAACATAAAACGATTTTTTTTTATTTCAAATGCGATGAAAATGTAACACTAGTCAATAAACAAATGACTACTTTTGGAAAAAGAATCCCATGTTTTTAAAACAAAATTAATTAGCCTTAGCCTAACAAACACTATTTTGATTTGAAATGGCCAGTACTGCAGAACGGCAATTTCATAGGTGAAGACCTATTATTATAAATACGAAAGTTACTCTGTCTGTCTGTTTTTTCTTCACGCCTAAACTACTGAACCGATTTCTGTAAAATTTCGTACAGACATAGTTTGGAACTCGAGAGAGGACATAGGATAGTTTTTATACGAAAAATCTGCAGGAAGTCACTATTCCACGGGAATGGAGTCGCGGGCGAAAGTCACATCATCTTAAGGAGCAGAGCAAACCGCGTGAGAGTAGTTAGTTTTTCTTTTTTTTTCTTTTTTATGTGATAGGACGGCAAACGAGCAGACGGATTACCTGATGGTAAGCAATCGGCGTCGCCCATGGACACCCGCAACAAAGAAGGAGTTACGAGTGCCTTGCCGACCTTTTAAGGATTGGGATTTTGGGATTGGAAAGGGTAGGGGAAGGATTGGGCCTCCGGTAACCTCACTCACACGGCGAAACACAACGTTGTGGTCGTTTCACGCCGGTTTTCTGTGAGGCCGTGGTATCGCTTCGGCCGAGCCGACCCATTCGTGCCGAAGCATGGCTCTCCCACACTTAATTTAGTTTAAAATAAATACCTTTTTTATATTTTCCCCAGCATTGGGCCAAGCGTATGGGCAATAAATCGTCTCGTCGCGGCAACGTGTCCACTGTCGGCGTTGATATCGGCACGTGGGTGTATGAGAAACATCGCTCAACGCGTGGACCCATCACTTTCAGAACCTGGGACTTTGGGGGGCAGCAGGAGTGAGTATAATCATCATCATCATCATGTCATGTAGATCATGACACTGATGATTTTATACTTGTTGGGACGGCAAACGATTCTACGGATTACCTGATGGTAAGTTTGCCAGACTTCGTGGCAAGGTAAATAATGAGACTGTAGATGGTTAAGGTCTGTTTATTACTTTAATTGCTGGTGCTTATATACTAAGAAGATGCGTGAGATTTTCAGATTTAGCTATCCTAACAAACGTGCAACAATTAACATGTATGTCTTATCTCTATCGTATCTAAGTAATGTAGCGACGTGATAGTGCCGCTACATATACTCCCCCCTTTTAAAAATAATTAACATATAAATTGAAAAAAATTAGTATGTACCTAATTATATAATAACTTAACCTTGCTGATAAATTACATCCTATGCGTAATGTAATGTCATTGTTGCTAATTCGAAGGAAATAAAAACTGCTGCCTTTGTTGTGACGGCGGCGGCAGTCGATGAACTATCCACTGCATTTGTGCTGATACCGGTGGTCCTTTAGTGATAATATGATGCTTAATCTTGTGTTTTGGAGTAGTGTGGAGGGAGGCTGGTTTCGTAATATCCTCGTATTCATTTAATAGTTGAGTAATGCGTGGATTCGTCTCAATGTTAATAGTGCGGATTGTTTGCTGCGTCGATTTGATCAGGGTTGCGGGCGTTGTCAGCTCAGTTACCCTATCTATGAGTTTTCGACCAGCTATATCGACTAATTGCTCCAATAATCGGTTGTGTTACATCGGCGATGACAAAGTTCCATACAAAGTTTCTTCGTAGCCCGAAGTTTAAAGAGAGTGTTTTTTCACCATATGTCTTAATTTTTGTACCATTGGCGGCATAAAGTATACATTGTTCATCTTGTATTAGTGAATGTCTCTGTGGCTTGCTAATAACTGAAATATTTGCTCCCGTGTCAATCAAAAATCTCATACCACTTTTTCGGTCGGTAATAGTGAGGCGGTTGGACGGGTGAATAGCACAGAGTTCCGCCGTTGTCCGTGCTTCAATTAGTTTCCCTGTTTCCTTGAGTTGAGATCCTGTTTCCAATCACAAGGTTGAACACACTTTTGTGCATATTTTTTAAATCTTCCATGGTAAAAACAAAAGTGCCTTCTTTCTCTTGAACTTGACTGTGGTAGGAAATGCCGACGATTGGAATAACTTTGAGTGCTGCGTCGATAGTTTTTTTGACCTTGCTGAATTGCATTTAGTTCCAATTGCATTTCTGCTAACTGTGCTAGTATGCATGACATTGTATCGTCGCCAGATTTGTTTCCGTTTACAGCTGACACCTTTGTACGTGTTGAATTTATTAATATCTTGTCCGCGATCTGGCTCATCTTGTTCACATCTATGTCTTCTGTGACTGCTAGAACCGAAGTCACTGATGGTGGCAGAAGCCTCAACCATAGAAGTTTGATGGTTTCGTCGCTGATATTTCCGTTACTCAGGGTCCGCATCTTGCGCAGAAGATGTGATGGTTTCTGGTCGCCGAGATCCATTTCAGACAATAATTTTTGGAGCTGACGTTGGTCTGATTCCTCATAGCAACTGATTAGGCGTTCTTTGATAGCCTTGTACTTTTCTATTGGCGGTGGGCAAGTAATGAGGTCACTAACCTGTATTATTTCTTCTTTTGGCAGTTTTGCAATGACCGTATAGTACTTGTAATCGTCTCCTTGCTTCTGTGGTGCTACTATGGCTTCTAGTTGCTTAAACCATAATCTGGGTTGGTCCCTCCAAAATTCCGGAACGGGATAAAATGGCGGTTCCGGCTGATATCTCCAAGGCTTCTTGTTGGCTGCTGCTTGATTTGCAGGGTGAATGAGTCATGTTGATTGTTCTTCGTCGGGTCACCAATTTGCCAGACTTCGTGGCAAGGTAAATAATGAGACTGTAGATGGTTAAGGTCTGTTTATTACTTTAATTGCTGGTGCTTATATACTAAGAAGATGCGTGAGATTTTCAGATTTAGCTATCCTAACAAACGTGCAACAATTAACATGTATGTCTTATCTCTATCGTATCTAAGTAATGTAGCGACGTGATAGTGCCGCTACAGTAAGCAATCACGCCGCCCATGGACTAGCGCAAAAACGAAAGAGTTACAAATGCGTTGCCGACCTTTTGGGGATTAGAGTATATTGGGGGAGGGGAAGGATCGGGCTTGCCGTAACCTTACACATTCGACGAAACACAACGCTCTGGTTGTTTCACGCCGGTTTTCTGTGAGGCTGTGGTATCACTTCATGGAGCATGAAGAGAAGCATGGCTCTCCCAAACAAATCGTTACTTTATAATTGGGTAGTTTCCTAGGTCAAAAATAAATTAATTCGACCTTTGAATACAATAAAATATTGATAAATAACTATACTTTTATTCTTCGATCGATCGATACACTAAGTTTTAGTTATTTTGTAACTAATTATTAAGAAATAAATAAGCTATTTGACGCAAAAATACTATGACGTCATAACTCAGTGTTTCATACAAATTTCATAGAAAAGTATTAATTTTGATTTGTTGGAAACCACCGTATTACTAATCAGATGTTTTCTTTCCCCGCAGGTACTACGCCACACACCAGTATTTCTTATCTCGAAGGTCCCTGTACCTCGTTGTATGGAGGGTCACCGACGGCAGGAAGGGGCTCGCCGGAGCCCTCAACTGGCTCAGGTACGGGGTCCTAATACTTAATTAATTAATAATAATAAAAATTATATTGACACGTTTAACCACATCTCTCTCTTTCTATCTCTATCTCCCTCTATTTATCTCTATTTCTCTCTATCTATCTATCTCTATCTCTATTTATATATATATCTCTTTCTCTCACACAATGGTTATACTTTAGATAAAGTTCAAATTATTTACGACTAGCTATTCTCACGCGGTTTCACCCGCTGCGCGGCTCCATTTGATCGTAGCGTGATGTTTTATAGCCTATAGCACTCAGGAACATTGTAGCTATCTACCAGTGAAAGGATTTTGGCAATCCGAACAGCGGTTCCAAAGATTGTATGTAGGGGACATACAAACTTACAAATTTTACCTCTTTATAATATTAGTATAGATAACGCCTCTCTTTAATAATATAATGAACTCGAGAGTTTTGTAAGTAACCATATTTCCATATATTTGCAGATCCATACAAGCTCGCGCCCCGGGTTCGCCTGTCATTATGGTGGCAACACATTACGATCAAGTTGCTAATGTAAGTATTGTTTATATAATTATTGGATACTAGCTTAGCATTCAGTATTGTCTCGCGTTTTGTTTTGTTTGACTATCGGAGGTAGAAACGTCTCCCCTTCCCCTCAATGCCTAATTCCCAAATTCCCCTGACCTTCTGATGTTGCAAGTATCCACGGGCGATGAACGGCGCCGATTGCTTACCATCAGGTAATCCGTTTTTCTTCTTGTCACCGTCCATAACCTCAATGACATGCACATATCATCGTGCGAATCTATATTTCCCAAGCGAAATCCGGCGTTCGCGCACCTTCTGTTCTAATATTGTGTCTCTAATTGGGTAGTTTTTAAGTCAAAAATAAATTAATTCGACGTTTCAATACAATAAGATGTTGAAAAATAACCATACTTTAATTCATCGATCGACTATAATTCTTAACTTTTTAGCTATTTTAAAAAGAAATAGGTAAGCTATTTGACGCGAAAATACTATGACGTCAGAATTTGTTCACAGAAAAGTATCGTTTTTGACATTTGTATAAAAGTATTGAATTTGACTAGTTGGAAACTACCGTATACCAACTATTAAAAGCTTAAAACGTTTAATAAAAACAATCAATTCTCTCTCTCATTTGCTTACTTTTTCTCTTATTTCTCTTGCAGAGCAATCTTCCTGAAAGCGAGAGTCCTGAAGTACTGCAGCGTCTGATCAGGTCTTCCATCATGGGGGCTCCGGATGCCGACAAACTGGGCCTTCCCAGGGTCTTGGATTCCGTCGAGGTAAGAATTGTTGTGAAAATCTAGCTATATATAGGGTGACTGGTACCTCAGGGTCCCGGACCTTTGGAAGGCGTACGAGGAGCCGAAGCCAACTAGAAAAGGCTCGTTGACTAATTTTAATCTCAATGTGATGGGACATCAGCCGGCAATTATCCCTGTATGCACTATGAAAGTGCACCCAAGGACAATCCCCGGTTGATGCAGATCTATTGCGAAATGTGGGTAAAAAATTATAAGTTATGGGTATGGGTTGTTATGGACTAGTGGATGACAATTGTGGAAATACTATTTTTATTATTATAAAAAAAAATACTTAATTACTTGAAATACTTTATGACGTGGTAACGTCATAAAGTATTAAGTATTTTTTTTTTTGCCCGGAGGTTAACGCGACTTCTCATGCATGAGGTTTCGAAACCTGGCAAGTACCAATGTGACTTTTTCCGAGTTATATGTACTTTCTATGATTATTTAGACACCACTGACATACAGTGAAGGTAAACATCGTGAGGAAACCTGGACTTGTAGTTTCTAATTATAAGTTCGCCAATCCGCCTTCGCCAAACACCGCGAGCGTGGTGATGAGCCAAACCTTCTCCATGTGAGAAGAGGCCTTTGCTCAGCAGTGGGCACATAGGCTGATGATGATGATGATGATGATGTGAATCGTATGTATGTCTGTTCTAGGTATCATGCAGTACTCGTCACAACATCAGGCTTTTAGCAGACATCATCTATTCCGTGGCATTCAGCGTTAAACCTCCAGGTAAGTTCTTCCATACGATAACTCGCCAAACGAGCAGACGGATTACCTGATGGTAAGCAATCGGCACCGTCTACAGATACCCTCAACACCAGGGCAATTAAGAGTGCATTGGTTGGGTCCTTGGCAATTTCACTCACACGGCGAAACACAACACTGGGTTGTTTCACGCCTGTATTCTGTGAGGCCGTGGTATCACTCTGGTCGAGCCGACCCATTCGTGCCGAAGCTTGGTTCTCCCATACTTTAATACAAAAATAAATCTATATCAATAACTATAACTTGTGTCCAATTTTCACTGCTATACGGCTATAAAGAGCTTAATGTCCTTTAGCCTATATTATTATTTTTCCCTCTTAGGTAGTAAAGAACCCCTCCTAGAACAGCGGATCCCCGCTACATACCTTGCATTGGAGGAGTGCGTTACCTCCCTAGCCGCTGACCTTCGAGAGCCAGTACTGCGTCACGAAGAGTATAGGAAACTTGTAAGTATACCTTCAAAAATCAAGGTCAGATCATTTCTATCAATCAGACCCAAGAAAAAGAATAACCATGGAGTTTCTTGCTCGTTCTTCTCTATAGGAATCTACTGTTTGGAACGAGCAAATAGCTTCACTACAGGACTGACCGACAGACTGACAGACACTATATCTTTAAGCTTTGTTTGACGTTCAAAAATACTTTTATTAAACCTTTTGATCTCTAGGATCGGCTATAGACGGAAACTAGGTTATTTTGCCAATGTCGAACGTAGCTTTTTTATGACATAGGTCTGCAAACGAGCAGACGGATTACCTGATGGTAAGCAATAAGCGACGCCCATGGACACCTGCAACACTTTTGACTGCGTTGCCAGCCTTTTCGGGATTAAAGTTTCGGATATTTAAGGACTGGGGAGAGGTAGGGATTGGGCCTCCGGTAACCGCACTCACACGCACACACAACGCTGTGGTTGTTTCACGCCGGTTTTCAGTGAGGCCGTGGTATCTGCCCTGTGGTATGGTGCCCATTTTTCATGATTTTTAGCATTCTTCTTCTGTATCCTTCTTCTTCTTCTACCAGGTAACACAGTATATGCAGCAGAAGAACCATCGCATGTTCCGTGATGCAGCGGAACTGCATCAGGCGACAATGTTCCTACACGAAAATGGTAGGTTAATCTCTATGTTATTACTAGCGCCCCCCCACCCCCTGATTTGCACTGGTCTACAAATATCTCGCTATCGACGAGATGGTATGTATCATCATCATCATCATCATCATCATCAGCCAGCTCAATCTCTCAGCTTTAAGGACATCAATAAAGTAGGTGAACTAGCTTTTTTTTTCAACACTATGTAGTAATCTATACTAGGTAAAATTTTTAAGTTTGTAAGTTTGTCAGTTTGTAAGTTTGAATGTGGGGGGCAATCTTTGGAACCGCTGGTCGGATTGCCAAAATTCTTTCACTGATAGCTACTATGTTCCTGAGTGCTATAGGCTAAAATTTACCGCGACCTTGTCTTGTAGTAGAAGAAGGAACGAGGGTTAGTCAGTAAGAGTCTGACGCTCCCTCTTGCCCCACCCAGGTTGGGAGAAGTCATTTGGTGATTTTCCCCCGTCAAATGGATAATTAATGGGCAATTCTTTGGGACAGTAACGAACAAAAGTTATTAAGGATTTACTCCAGTATTTTCTAGTAACTTGCCTGATATTGTCTTTAAGCTTTACTAGCTACTCTCGCGCGGTGTCACTCGCTGCTCGGCTCCATTTAGTCGTAGCGTGATGTTTTATAACCTATAGCACTCGGAGCATTGTAGCTATCTATCAGTAAAAGAATTTTGGCAATCCGACCAGCGGTTCCAAAGATTACACCCTACATACAATCTTACTACCACTTTAGAATATTAGTATACATAACAAAAAAAAATGTCACAAAGGTCAAAAATATTGTGACGCAATTGATTTTATAAATTAGTAAGACATCCTTAGCTAATTTATTTTTCTTTAAAAAAATAATGTGTTTTTTTTGTCCCTCCCCAGGTGTACTCCTCCATTACGACGACGCGACTCTCAAAGAGCTCTACTTCTTGAAACCTCAGTGGCTGTGTGATGTACTAGCTCACGTGGTCACCGTCAGGGAGATCAACCCATTCGCTAACAACGGTAAACATGATTGATTTTCATTTTCATTTTCATTTTCATTCTCATTTTGATTTTGATTTTGATTTTGATTTTTAGATTTGACTTTGTCTTTGACCTTTATTATTTTTGCATTGAAAAGTAAAAAATATGTATTTTTGACGACATCAAGTGCCTTGGAGTACATAGTAGGCTTATGTTCTTACCATAATCCTCAGGTATAATGAAGATAGAAGACCTAGCCCACGTCTTCAAGGCCTCTCCGATGCTGGCCAGAGGAGATGAGGCCAGTTCTTTAGGAGTATCATTACTGAACAAGTTTGAACTTGCCCTTTGTTGGGACGCGAGACTTCTGCTTGTACCCCCTCTACTGCCGCCGGTAGAGCCACCTACACCACAGGTATGTTGATATTGGTCACCCATCCTTTTCTAGGCCGCGGGGTGGTGTGCTTAACTTTCAATTTTTGGTAGATTTGGATTGGATTTTTTATCAGATAAGGCGGTAAACGATTTTGAAGATTACCTGGTTGTAAGCAACTGCATGGTTGGTGCCGTGGCTGGGCAACTGGCTGCCGTGCAACTGAACTACCTTCACCGTATGTCAGTGGTGTCTAAATAATCATAGAAAGTACATATAACTCGGAAAAAGTCACATTGGTACTTGCCAGGTTAAGAACCCACACCCTCACGCATGACAGTTTCCACCACGACAGTTTCCACTTCCCTCGGTGAATTTAATGCAGGAGACAGAATGACTTAAGTCTTAAAGACTGGGTGTAATCAACGCATCATTTTCTATACCTTAGTTGCCGGTACGGTCCCGTTCGTGGAGCAGCTCGAACAGAGGCACCCCCCGCCGGGCCTGGCCCCCCCAACTGACCCCGTTACCTGACAGTAGGGGGACTGACTCCCCCACTCTTATACGTGAGTAGAAAAATTGATTTGTTTATTAATAAGTAGCTTTTACTCGTGGCCTCGGTCCCGTCATTTGATTACCTACCCTACCTACCCTCGATAAAAATGTAATGTAAATTAGATTGTATTATCTATATATATTGTTACGTGCCTGACGTCACGTTCCTGACTATGCGGGCTTGGGTTACGGGATTGGATGAAATGAAACACTAATACCGGTTTTCAGACTTTCTATTGCACTTAAGTTACAGCGTCCACGGAGTTAAGTTATCGGCGTTCTTCTTCAGCAGAGTCCGGCCGACTGACACAACTTTGCCGTTCACGCTGACTTAACTCACTTAACTGACTGCACTTCTCTATTTCACTGCACTTCACTATTTCACTCACTTTTCTTCTTTTTCACTTCTTCCTTTTCTTCCGAATCACTTTAGACTTAGAAGTCAACTGCCAGCGGTGAGCCGCAGTTCTGCTTATATACCCCCGGTCAGGTTCTGGAACATTCAATTTCGTTATTCTTTTTGATCGTCATGCCTCCAGAACCTTCCAATAATTTCGCTATTCATTTTTATTTATTCTCCTTCTCACTCTTTAATTTTTCATCTCTTTCACACAAATAATTCCAGAAAGTTCGACAAAACTTCCATCAACTAAAAAACTTCATGTTTACGGCGGGACTCGAACTCGGGGTCTCTGTGGTGTAATCCACACGCCTTACCAATTACACCAACTCGTATTGACAATTCACGACGAAATTTACAATCTCTAGGCAACGTTTGACAACCATCCATTGACGTCATGATGTCAAAGAGTTTTCTGTCACACTGCCCCCCTCTTAGATTCGCTCGTCCCGAGCATCGTTGCTGCCGTAATACCTCGCCAACCTGTCTATATGGACAACTTTCAAAGGGCTCCTTAAAGTCTTCCGAATTCTGTAAGTAATGTCATTGATCTTCGTGACTATCTCATAAGGACCTTCCCAACTCGGTTGCAGCTTCGGAGATTTTCCCTTCCTTCTGATTGGATTATGAAGCCAGACCAATGACCCCTCTTCAAACCCAACAGAATTGGCTCGTCGATCATAGCGCGTCTTTGCGCGATCACTAGCTTGAAGACCGGCCTCCCTGATCTGCTCATAAATGTCCAACATTTTTGCCCTTAACTCGCTTATGTAATCGCTAAACTCGGTGCGAGAGTCGCCAGGTGGACAGCCCGATACAAGATCTGCCGGTAATCTCAATTCCCTTCCAAAATTTGCAAATGCAGGCGTCTTAGCGGTACTTTCATGTACAGCAGTCCGATAGGCAAGCAAGAAGAGAGGTATGTAAGTGTCCCAATCTCTCTGATGGCTGTCAACCACCTTTGCTAAGTGTCGCTCCAATGTTTGGTTGAAACGTTCGACCATTCCATCTGACTGTGGATGATAAGGGGTCGTTCGAGTCTTATGGATTCCCAAAAGTTTACAAGTTTCCTGAAAAACTTGGGATTCAAAGTTCCGTCCTTGATCACTGTGCATCTCCAAGGGCACTCCGAATCGGGTGAATACCTCGTTTACCAACTTCGTGGCTACAGTTACTGCCTCTTGATTCGGTATGGCAAAGACCTCCGGCCATTTTGTAAAATAATCCATAACCACTAAAACGTAGCGATTGCCCGAATCAGTGATTGGAAATGGTCCAGCGATGTCTAAGGCTATTCTCTCCAAGGCATACCAACATTGTAGATTTTCATCGCCCCTCTGCTTCTTGTTTGTGGACCCTTGACAGCTGCACAACTAGTGCATTTCCGGCACCAATCTTCGACGTCATATTTGCAATGCAACCAATAAAACCTCTCCTTGATCTTCACCAAAGTCCTCCTAATTCCCAAATGTCCTCCAGAAGATCCATCATGGAACGCTTTTAATACATCCCTTATTTTTGAACGAGGCACCACCAATTGCAAATGCTCGTCCTTGCCGTTTGTTGATTCCCATTTCCTGCACAGAAGTCCGTTATGCAGCGTAAGGCTTTTCCACTGTGCCCATAAACCTTTCGTTACCGCGCTATATTGGGCGACGTCACTCCAACTTGGCTTGTTACCACTTCGTAGCCACTCCAGTATTGGTTTAATATCTGCATCTCTTTCCTGTTCTAATTTCATCGCATCATCTCCCCATGCCTCGTCAACAGTATCAGTCCTTATCACCTTAAGAAAAGCAGTTTCCTTCTTGGAACAATGCTTGCAATCTTCCACGCATGGGCGTCTCGATAATGCATCTGCGTTGCCATGAATTCTTCCTCCGCGATGTTCGATTTTCAAAGTCAAATTCCTGAAGTTGTTCAACCATCTGGCTACTTGGCCTTCGGGATCCTTAAACTGAAGCAGCCATTTCAAAGCAGCGTGATCAGTTCTAATCAAAAATTTCCGTCCCAGTAAATACTTCTTGAAATGGTGCAGAGTTTTGACTACGGCCAGCAATTCCCTCCTGGTCACGCAATAATTCCTCTCGGGCTTGGATAGTGACTTGCTGAAGTAAGCAATAACCTTCTCCTGCTCACCATCGCGTTGTGAAAGGACACCTCCTATTCCAATATTGCTGGCATCCGTATCTACTACGAATATTCCTTTCGCGCTGGGGTATCCGAGAATTGGTGTGTTACAAAGCCGTTCTTTTAGTTCTCGAAAGGCTTGCTCACAATCCTCGTCCCAGATAAAGGCACGTTTCTCCTCTGTCAATCGATGCAAAGGCTTGGCAATGTCCGAGAATCCTTTCACAAACCGCCGATAATACGAGCACAATCCAAGAAATGCCCGAACTTGCGTTTTGTCTTTAGGTGTTGGCCATTCCTTAACAGCGACAGTCTTGGCTGGATCAGTCTCAATTCCTCTCTCAGAAATAACATGTCCTAAATAATTCACTTCGCGCTTGAAGAAAGAGCATTTCTTTGGACTCAACTTTAAATTTGCTCCACGCAGCTTGTCGAGTACCTTTTCTAATTTCCTTAGATGATCGTCAAAATCCCGTCCAACAATGATGATGTCATCGAGGTAAACTAGGCAGGTTTCGCCCAGCAGTCCCGCCAGCACCTGTTCCATCAAACGCTCAAAGGTTGCCGGTGCATTGCATAATCCAAATGGCATCACCTTAAATTGCCAGAGTCCCTTCCCAGTTGAGAATGCGGTCTTTTCCTTGTCCTTGGGATCCAAATCCACCTGCCAATAGCCGCTTTTTAGATCGAGCGTTGAAAACCATTTCATGCCACTCAGTGTGTCAAGTGTGTCATCGATTCTTGGTAACGGGTAGCTATCCTTCTTGGTTACATCATTCAATCGTCGATAGTCTACGCAAAACCTCGTTGAACCATCTTTCTTCTTGACAAGCACGACAGGTGAACACCAAGGGCTAGAAGAGGGCTCTATCACGTCATTTTTCCTCATATCGTCAATCATTTCTTCAACCTCTTTCTCACGAGCGAATGGTATGCGTCTGGGCCTTTGACGAATTGGCATTGTATCACCTGTGTTTATTTTATGCTTCACCAAACCAGTTCGGCCAATATCACCATCGCTTCTTGAAAACACATCAGAGAATCGAAGAAGTAAATTTCTAGCTTTCATAGTCTCCACTTTTGTCAGACTTTTGTTTTCGTCTAAGATTTTCGTTACAAAGTCTATTCCCGTACTGTCCTTCTTCACAAGATTTTCCGAGCATTTTCTTATCCAGGCCACTTCTTCCAATACGCCCACAGGCTCTCCTTCTTCAATCGTAATTTCTGAATCACTGAAGTTGAATACCGGAATGCGGTTAACATCAGATGACCCCACGACAGTTCTTGCCGGTAGCCATGAGTTTACGTGTTCCGATTTATCAATCACAGCGCACCTTCGAGGTAAACTTCCTTCCCTCCTCCTAGGTAATGCAATTGGTACGAGAGTCTGTGATTTTGGTGCAAGAACAGTTCTTCTTAAACAGCAAACTTTTCCCAGGGTTCCACCCTTCATCGGAATTTCCTCAGTTCCACATAGTAATACTCCAGATTTTAAGTCGATGTTACACTGGTGCCCTCGCAGGAAATCAAGTCCTAGGATGCAGTCATCCAGAATTTTGGCCACAATAACCTCATGTCGATAAACACGTTCCCCAATTTTAATTGTTACATGCAATTTTCCACTTATCGGTATGCGCTGGCCGGTAGCTGATTTCATTCGTAGGCCAACAATTGGTTTAAGGTGTTTCCTGATGTTTTGCCCGAGCAGCCGAACATTCATCACCGTCCTTGAAGCTCCAGTATCTAATGTTAGCTGACTGTTTTTCCCGTTTACTTGACCGTCTATCACCAGAGTATTTCCATCGTTAGTTTGCTTGATGTAGATTGTTGGGGTTATTCCACTACCGGCCAGCGCCCACCCCGCAGCCCTGGCTGGATTTAGTTTTCCTGCTGGTCAGAAGTTGAGACCGGCCGCGTCCTGGCGGTTCACCTTCTTCGGGCAGTCGCTCCGCATGTGCCCACGCTCTCCGCATCCATAGCACATGAAGTTCCGACGGCGTGGAGGTACCTGCTCCGTTGTCGTCATTTCCCGCAGACGTAAGGTACGGGAGTTACCACGCACGGCTTCCACTTCCAATGCATGGGCCAGAGCTTCTTTCATGTTCTTGTGATGGCCAGATGAACAGCAGCTCGTACTTCGGGGTCCCGAACACCGTCAATGAATGCTTGGAGAAGCGTGCCTTCAATCATTGACGGAGTCGACCGGAAAGCTCGACGCACAAGTTTTTCGATTTCCACGGACCATTGCTGTAGACTCTCATTAGCACGCTGAGTACGCTCTTTTTAATTGCGCTCTGTACACGTGCTCGAGGTGGCTGTCTCCAAAACGTGCCTCAAGTGCGTCGAGGAGGGCACTAAAGCTGAGATCCCCACTTGCGCCGATAGCTTCCAGCACTGAGAGCGCTTGATCACGGAGGGCCAGGGTGAGGGCTGACTGTGCTTCCTTCTGAGTCCAACCATAAGCCTCCATAAGTGTCTCAAACTGTAGC